TCTGGCATAGTTTCGTGTGAAGCAAACCACTAATCAAATACTATAGTTTGGGGGTGTTTTGGGTTGGGCAGGCGGGTCAAAATGGCAGGAGACAATTGAATTTATGGGTCAGGGGTCAAAATGGGGCCATATACCCCTGAGCTGTGTGTGGAATACCCTAACAGGCTAGTAGTTTTACGGCTAATAAATCAATTTACTATAATATCTTATATGGGAATCATAGGTTTAGGATTACAATGGTGTTATCTGTGCTAAAGTTACTTAATTATGTTTTCTAAGATGGAATCTTGGAATATTATCTATTGATAGTAAAAGCTTATCTGAACTTCTATCTTATCCTCCTATGATTATATTCCTGATACTTCCTAGATAATACCTTAATTTTCCAGCTCCCCCAAGAACCTACATCAAATGCTTGCAATCTGAGGATTAAGTTTCGAAAAGGACTACTTGATTTGTTAAGTCGCAGAATGATTTAATGAGTCTTAAATGCCTTTTGCTCCAAACTTTGAAAACTGGCTGGGAAAATATAGAAAACTTAGAGACACAAAGGGAGGGCGGAAGGGCGGTAGGAGTCGAAAGTAGAGGGGAGTGACCAAAGTAATTTAGCTGTAGGCCGCAAACGGAAGGCCGGAAAAAGCGAGAGAAAGAGACTTTCAAGGGGGCCGGTCGATGAGGGGGGTCGAGGGAAAAGAACAAGGCCAAAAGCAGACAGAATCAGAGCCAGACAAACTCACTTGATGGCCGTCATCAGCAGGCCCAGAAGGCCCGACTTGTCACGTCTTTGTGGCCCCATCTCTCTCTCTCTCTTCCATCCTTCTCTGTTTCTCCTTCTCTTTCTCCAGCACCAACTTTCTCATACATACGACCGACCGACTGACTGACTGACTGGCAATATCCCCCATCCTCCCATCTTCCTTTTGGTTTCTCTGTGTATTTAATGACAGGACAGCTGCAATCTGCTGCAATGATATCTATTAATTATGGCACAAACTCTCGCAAATTGAGTTTTATTTCCACTGAAGTGGATATTCATTTGCATATCACTCATACGCCAAGTGCGCTGTGCCAGGCCACAAATTGGCCGAGCTGCAAGTGGCAAATCGTTGACAATACAAACCAAATGGAATAAACTATTCCATTCTACCATTCTGTACCCAACCCACTCTCGGATTGAGTCTCCTTGCACCGGCTTAGCCTCGAGGCTTTGTGTCCACTCGGTCTTGGTTACCAGGAAATCCAGTGAGAGACATGATTAAATTATCGTTGACTTTTGTTGCACCAGCACTGGCAACAGCCCCAGCTGCTGGCAATCGAATCGAAGACAAACGTGGTGGCATATCGGATGGTGTATATAGAATATATATATATATATACCGACAACATAAGTCAGTGAGGAGGTTGGGACTGTTGTTGGCTCCCATCGGCCAAATCAGATTAGTTGCCCGGTTTCGTTGGGGACTTATTGTGTGCATATTGCAAATATACTTTTGTGCTGGGGCGATATTGCCTTGACTACCATTTTCTCAGAGCCGTATTGCAATTTTCGATATTAGGTATTAGGTATTAGGTATTAGAGAAAATGAAAGGGGCGCGCATTGCACATGCATTTTCATACTTTCCAATAGGATTTGTTGATGGGATTATTCAGCGGACAACGGAGATTTCAGCACTGCAATATATATATATAATATTTTGTAATTTTTATTGATGGAGGAGGAGTAGAAGTTTTTCATTGTAAATTCAAATTATTATTTCTCAAGTTTTTCCACAACTGAGAAAGTCTTAAAATGTTGTGCAATTTTAGTTCTTAACTTTGTTCTGTTAGTTCGGGTGAGGATGCTAAGCTGCTGAATTTATGAGCTAACTTTTTGCAAATTGCAATAGCTCGGACCTTAGCTAGGGATTTTTGGAAATTCACTAAGGAAGGAATTTTGTAGGAAATCAGTTTCCCTGCTAAAAAAAACAAAGCAAAATCTCTGCCATTGGCAAGATTTCAATCGCAGACTAGGCATCAATCATCAGCTTAGATTTGAGAAACTTCTATTTGGGACTTTTCAAACTTAACTTGGGTATTTTGAAAACTTAAACTGATTTTGTATGTGCTAAAACTTAAAAAAAAAAAACCATTGATGAAATGCATCTTTTTTGAATTGTGATTGTCGTGATTATGCTTATTAAGTAGCCAGAGTTGCCATCATCATGCATGTAGCAAACGAAGCACACCCTCCTCAATCTATCAATCTATCTCGCTCTCAATCGCTCGCTAGCTCGCTCACACACACACACACCAAATAGCCACATGCATCAGTAGAGTTGTCTCGCTCTAGAGTTGCCTCTTCTCACTCTACTCTTCTTGGTTAAATCGGTGATGTGAAAAGCTCACAATCTTTCTCTGTCTTTAAATCAACTTCTTTCTATCTATCTCTGTCTCTCTATATTTCTCCCACTTTCTTTCTGTCTCTCCACTCTATCTATATCTTTCCCTTTCTTTTTCTTCTATCTATCTATCTCTCTCTCTCTATCTCTTTATCTTTTTCTCCTCTGCCTGTCTTCTCTTTCTGTTTGTGCTTCATCCACAGGACGTGCCCGCGTTGAGTGATGGAATCTATCACATTGATTCCTTTATACTGGAGGCGCCCAAGAGCGCGATTTTCGTGGGATTACAGAATGATTTCATGTGCGATTTCTCCTACTCATCGGACGGGCAATTGGCGCCCAACGTGGCGGGCCATGATGGCCGAGATGAACAAGCAATTGGTGGCGACTCCGACGACTTTGATTCCCAGATGGACTCCTCGCCCAAGCAGCAGACGTGTGACTGTGATTTCGATTTGGATATCGACGATGGCCAGCAAATGGATATGGAAATGGAAATGCAGATGGAGATGGAGGAGGAGGAGGAGGAGGTGGAAATGGAAATGGAAGAAGAGGAGCAAGAGGAGGAAGAGGTAGAGGGACGGCAGCAACAGGTGGAGGATCAGGAGTACGACGATGGCATCGGTTTCAGTTGTGACAGCGACAGTGGTCTCACCCTGCCCGAAGATGATGATGAGTTTGTCCTGGTCACTGGACAGTGTCTACCCAGCAATTCCAGTCACTCCTGCAGCAGTTCGATGCAATGCAGCAGTGGTTCTAGTGGCGGCACAGTGGCCAACAGCTCATCAACTTCCATGGAACTGGACATGGTTCTAACACCGCCACCACCACCCATACTGGGCAAGCCCAAATCCGGCGTACATCCCCTCAAGTTCCTGCACAAAATCATCTAGAAAAGAATCTCCCAACGAAATTTATTCGCTCACGTTCTGCGGTGGCAACGGTGGTCCTTTGACCACCTGCTGCTGCTGCCGCTCCAGCTGCAGGCGAATCTGCATGGAGGACATCATTAAAATCAGGCTCTGGCAAAATTCGCAAAAAAAAAAAAAAAGAGAGAGAGATAAGAATAGGAGAAAAAAAAGAAAACGAAATCCAATATCGAACCCATGCTCCCTGTGGCCCGACCTTCGTTCGTTTCACCGTCGTTCGTGCTGAGTTCACCGCAAACCCAAAATCAGAACAAAATCAAATCCTGGTCCTTGGGGGGATGTGCAGTCAGAGAACGGGCAGGGTTTTCTCCCTCATTAAGTTAAGCTGCTAATTGTATGACGGACGATATCCTAGATATATATATATATATATCTTAGGTAGGAATACTCAAAGCAACAATGGGCGAACATAGTTAACAGTATTATGGATATAACCTCATTAAAAGGCTTACAGTTTATAGAAATTATTAAGCGATAGATGCCAAGGTGGATCAAATAGCAAACAGCAGAAAAAAAAACCAGAGATGATTGCATCTTCTACAGAGCCCTTTGATCGAAGTTTCCCTGAGAACCCCCCCTTAAGTAGCTATCGCAATTGTAATAGTGTTAGTGTTCCCATCGGACAATCCAGCAAACCAAAAGCTAAGTACATAGTTAACTATTTGGCTAAACGAATGGCTGCCGCAAAACTAATACCGCACAAAGGCTCTATATATATAGTCAAGAATAAATATATATATATGGAAAATAGAAAATGGAAAATGGAAAATAAATATATATATATAACGAAATTAAATGTGTACCATCAGTTAACTTTTGAAAGCAATTACCTTTTGGCTTTCTTGGCCAGAAGAATGGAACCAGAGACGAACCAAAGATACTCGCATTTCCTTAGCGATTTGCATTGAATTTTCCTCATTTTTCCATTATATTCCATTTGAATGATGGCGGTGAGGAGAAGTGCAGAAGGGCTGGGGAGAAAGAAAAAGATATTCTGCAATGAAAAAAGTAATTGGCAAGGGAAAAACTGAAACTGAAAAGGTGGACGCAATGTTTGCCTTGTATATTCCATTATGAATGCAATTTGAGGTGGTTTTTCAGAGTTTGGGGTCGATTGTTGGCTGGCTGGATGGCTGGCTGGCTGGTTGGTTGGTGGCCATCGAGATTTGCAGTGCCTGGCGGATGCAGTTCGTCCTTCATTATTCTGTATTTACGTATTAACGCTTCCTTTTATGCAGGCCATCAAGTGCTTCCCCTGGCAGGATTTACCAACTCCTTGATTCCCCTTTCCCCTTCACCTTCCCCACACACACACACACACACAAAATCGAAGTATTAATGACTGCAAACGAGTAAAAGAACGAAAGAGAGAGAGAGCGAGAGAGAGAGCGTGTGTGCAAAAGGGAGGTGGCATCAGGTGGTGTCTGGCTTAATTGCTCAGCCACACCCCTTTTTCAGGCCATCCTCATAATCCACAGTGCAGTGGGCTTTAAGGATATCATATTACGCGCCTGGCAGTAACTCTCTCGTTGCGAGAACCGGGCTTAAACCCGCCCGTCTCCCTTCCCTACCAAATTAATTGAAAATATTTATTGTTATGCTTATTACATTGGTCTCATCCCTCCCTCCCCCTCTGTCTCCCTACCATATATATACTATATACTATAACCTTGTCTATTGGAATCCCTGCAGGAGCACATCCGAGAGTCCAAGGAGAGCAAGTTGGACGAGATGGGCCGCAACTCCAAGGGTCGTTCGCGCGAGAATATTTCCAGGTGAGTCTACATATCAATCCATCCATCGGATTTCCTTGCAAATCACTTACTTCCCGACTCAGGCATTATTTTAAGTGACAGCACCAAATCGCGTTACGTATACGACGTGTGTGCACTAGTAATGCACTTAGCAAGCAATCACCATGACAACTGATTGCCAAATAATCAAGCATCTGGTCATTGTTATCGTCTTAACTGCCGCATGCCAAGGCACTCATAAGCCTAATGAGGTTTCAACTTAAACTTCATTTGGAGTTTAAAGTTCTTTAAGATATTTCTCCCAGTAGAACCTCAACCCTGATAGGCTACTAAAAACATAAGCAAGCCTTTTTAAAACCAATCTGGTATTCAATGTCGCTGAAATTCCAAGAATTCCCCCACCATTCTTATCCTTGATAGACCGCTGAAATTTCCGGTATTTAATCGTGGCGTTTTTTCCGCTTTGCAGGCAAAAGCATTCGCAGACCTCCCTACAGATCCTGGACGATGTGTCGAACCGATATTACCGCGAGGCTGTGCCACTATCGCAACAGTCGAGCAAGGCGGATTTCAAGGAGAAGGAGCACAGTATCCTGCGTCGACACGCGGACATGACCCAAACGAGTCTATGCGGTGTTGGCGAGGATGATGGTGAATCCAGTTCAACGACAACGGCTACCCACGAACTGATGACAAAGGCGGCCATGTCGGCAGTGCCCTCTAATGCCTGCGATATGGGCTGTCAGACGAGGTGAGTCTCGAAGTTCCTACTATCCCGTACCCCAGTTCCCACTTGCCGATCAATGGATCCCCCACTGTGCGTTTGCGTTTGCGTGTTTGTGCAGTCAAATAGATGCCAGAAAATTGCAAAGTCAACGGCGGACAAACACTAAAAACAATGACAGTATGAAGCCGGGTTAAAGTCAGCCCCGGAATCCAGGAAGTGTTACAGTGGGGGGCACGAGAATATCTATGTATATCTTGTATATGTATATGTACTTTGCTCGAACAACACAAATCGATGCAAATATTTGTATTTGCATGCGTCTTTATTGGATATAGCGACAGGTCCGTGCACAGTCAGAGTCGCAGTATTCGGGAATGTGGGTTAGCAGGATGGCGGAATGGCAGAATGCCAGGATGACAGGATAGGGTAGGATATGGTAGTATGGTTGGATGGTAGGATAGTAGGATGGGACGATGGCAGGATGGCACGATGGCACGATGGCACGATGGGTTGACAGCCAGACAGTAGGAATGCAGTGACACAATGCCGACGTGCCCAGATGAAGATGATTCATGCCACCGAATAGTGATGGGAACGAGTCACTGTCACAGCCAAACTGCTACAGGTTGTTCTAGGTGATTTATTAGAGTCCTGACACTATATCTATGCCTGTCACTGTACATATGTACGAAACAAAAGATTTAACTGCCACAAATTAAAGGGATTTTAGATTAAGACACAATTTTGTTACGTTGCTTGAGGAAGGAAAGGGGTTTTAATGTTTGTCAAAACTAATTTGTTTCAAATTGTTGCCTAATTTGATTAGTTAAATTAATTACTATTTAAGTGTTGTAAATGTAAATAGAACTTAAATGATTTGTTTTTGATTTGACAAATAAAATAAACTGTTTGCACTTTCTACTTAATTTTTCGGTCTTATTCTTTCATAATCTTTTTGATATCCAAAAACTAACACCTTTGAGTACTTTTTGTTTGGCTTATTAACATTCTTTCTGCTAAATTTAAAGTTTTTTAACTAAAGTAATGGTAGTAATGGCACCTCTACTGGTCAGCACTGGCAAAGTGTTAGATAGTTATCTGTCAACGGGATCCTGTTTTTACACCATATGCTTTCACAGCCATCTGACGGATTCAATTCAGCTGATTGGCGCACACCATTGTCCCGCAATCCCTGTCCCGCGGCTACACATTAACCTTTGTGCTTACCGCCGCTACCCCTCATCTGCATCATCTACATCAACGCTCTAAATCACACTCAAAGAAAATAATCTCTCTGACTCAGTCATAAAGCACTTTTTATGTTGAATCTTTTGGAAAATATTTACTAAAAGGTATCATAAACATGATAGCAAATGTAACGTTTAAGATATTAACCCATTATTTAGTTATTTTCTTCATTGTAAATGAGGGTATTAAGAGGAAACTGGGTAAAAGACCATCTTTCATTGCCACAACTGCAGCTGAGAAGTAGGCTACATTTTTCGAATTTTGTAATATTATTTCTGTTAAGGTGTTGCCTACTTTTAGAGCTATGAAGCAACTTATAAGCCAAGTTAAAAAAGCAATTAGTTGGGTTTTTTAAGCCAATTTAAGCTTAATAGTGATCAATATATAATTGAAATAGATAGAATATTAATAAATTATACACCCTAATTGAAACCTAACTTTTTACAGTGTTCTGGCAAAACGTTTGTCTTCGTGTGTGACAGACAAATATTAAAACCTTTCACTTTGCTCTCTCCCTACTCTCTCTTCTTTCTCCATTCCTCCCAGGGAATCGCTGTTTGTCAACAGTCCCGGAATTGGACCGTCGGCTGGTCCGGGAGTTGGAGTCGCTGTTGGCATTGGTATTGCTGTTGCTCCCGGTGGCGGTGTTGCCACGTTAATGAGACAAAAGTCCAGCTCTTCATCGCTGGGCGGGAATAGTGGCTCGGGTGTTGGGGCCATGATGATGCCACCCCCACCGCCACGGTTCTTCTCTACCTTTGGCTATGAGCCATCGGGATCACCATCGGTGGCAACGCTGACAAGGCGCAGCATGCACCAGCAGCAGCAGCAGCAGCAGCAACAGCAACATCATCACCAGCAGCAGCAGCAGCAACATCACCAGCTGCCTCGCCAAGAGTCCATGGAGATGGAGGAGCGACACAGCGGTCGTTCGCACTACGGTGGACTTCTGGTTGCCTCAACGCTCAAGCAGCCGCAGGAGATCTGTCACCATCATCACCAGCATCAACAGCAACAGCAACAGCAGCAGCAGCAGCAACATGCACAGCAGCAACAGCAACAGCAGCAGCGTCTGCACCATGCACATCCACATCCGCCGAGCATTGCTGCCCGCTTGCCCACGATGAAGGGGCACGGGGCCATGGGACAGACAACGATCCTGCCCAGCGGCAACAAGCAGCAGCAGCATCAGCAGAAGAACGAGGAGTCCAAAGTGTTTATCGACATACGGAATTCAGCACCAGACGTGATTATCATGACGTCCCATTGACATTTAAGGATGGCCCGCCAATCAGCAACAAAAACAACAGCAGTACAGAAGAGGAGCAACAGCAGCAGCTACTACAACAACAACAACAACAATAACAACAATAACATCAGCGGAAAGAGGAAGCGTTACAGCAACTGGACATCGGCCAACATATTAACCGCAGCCGCAGCGTCGCTGATGACACAACAAGGACACCAAGGAAAGAAGGAGGGACGTTGCAATCAGCCGGAGGGCGGTGTTTTTGTTGGTCATTTTTTTTCATTCAACAACCCACTTTGCCACACCCAACCGCCCAACAACACCGCCGCCCACATCCGGTTTGCATTCCGTTGCACTCGTTTCGCGCTTCCTTTCTTCGCTGTTAAAGTAAGGTAAACGTGACACTTTAAATTGCTTCGCAGTCGAGAGTTTTCCGTAATGAAAACTCCAAACTTTCGCAGTAACAATTATTTTTTAAAAGTTTTCAAAGCGTCTTTATAGTATTTCATTTGCCATTTGGTAAAGCTAATGCGGTAAGGGGAAGGGCTCTATCATGTTGCGTTTGATATCATAATTTTATTTAGAAACTTTTTGTTGATAACTCCTTGAGATTTCTACTTTTCTTCTGGATTGATAAAGGCAACTGCTTATGTAAACCAAACCACAAGAAGGATAACCTTTTAAACTAATTGAAATCAGAAAATTGTTTCTTAAGACAGACTCTTACGTCCGAGTTGATTTTAAATTTCAAATTCCACAAAATACCCAAAAATTGGTCTTCAAAAATGTTGTGTGAAAGCCAATTGAAGGATCTTTAAGACGATATAAGCCCATTAATAGCGACTGGAGTTGACTGGTGGAGACAAATGGAAGATGTGTGTCGGTCCGTTTTGGCCTCGGCCAGCCCCTTTGCAATAGCCCAGTTTGGAGACTGGACCAGAGGGTCCTGCTAGAGGAAAGCGAAAACCGGGAGAACTGTTCCAGTTGTTGTAACCGGCGGACCGCAATTGCTGGCGACATTTGCCGGACATTCTACGGCTGCGACAGCGGCATTTTCTGCTCGAAAACAATGCCAACGCAGGACATACAGATATACGGATGGGGGGGGGATGACGATCCGGATGCGGATACACAAATAGTAAGGGAGCGGAGCGAGGGAGTGAGCTGGCAGACACTAAGCAGACCTGCTGACAACGTGGCGTATGAGCAACATGTCCCAGAACATTGTTATCGGACTCCATTCCACCCTTGGTAACATCCCACACATCCCCACACACTAGCCCACCTTTTCTTTCCCATTTTCCCTTAACTCAGTCGCTTACATGTTTGCCGCTTGGAAAAATGCTCGACAGGAACTTCTTCATTTACATGCATTGCGGACGTGGTCCATTTCACGACGATGTCGCGACCAGAGTCCATCCATCACGGGCACGTGCTCGGTGCTCCATTTCGGGTTATAATGTGTCTGGGTTTGGGTTCTGGTAGCTGCTCTGGTTCTGCCACTGGCAGTGGCTACTCCTCCAACTCCCGACAAGCAATTTGCGTGAAAATAGTTTTTTAAGTGATTTCGGAGTCCGCCACTTTGCTAGTTTTATGAAATTCATTTCTTTGTGCCATTTAAAAGGCGAAGTTCTGCTCCGTTAACCCATTAATTACCAGTGGCCGAAAACTGTAACCAACGACATTGAAAGATGTTTCGGTATTTTCTTGTTAACGTGAAAATATATGGTTGAAAAGCCATAAAAAACACAAAATCAAAACCTTTCTATAAACCTTAGCCTTTCAACTTTAAAATTGTCCTAAAATGTCTTCTAAAAGAGACCCGAAAAAAGGAGTAAGAATAGCAGAACACCCTCCAAACTTAAGCTCCCTTCCAGTTTATAATGGGTTAACGAAGTACCTTGGCAATCTTTTTAGTTCATCTGCCATCTAAATCCCTTTCAATTAGATAAATTAGCTGGTCACAGATTTCTTCGTACCTGTGAAAAGTTTCCTCCCCTCACGCTCAGTGAAGGACAAATCCGGAGCTCTGGAATCCGTTTGGTACGCAATTAGCGTGGTCACCGTAATGCGGTTGGTTTTGGGTTTTTGGGCGGAGGAGGGCCCAGGATCAGCCTGGTGGTTTGAGTGGTCTGTGAGTGGTTTGGATGGTGTAAATATTGTCGCAGCTGGCCAAAAAAACAAGATGAGGATGAGAGAAGGATGAGGAGAGTGTCCTCTGTAAAAATAAAGATGACAATGACAATGAGCGAGCGAGGGGGGGTGTGGGGAAATCCATTTGATTGATTGAATTTAAAGAGCAGCGACAGCCACGCGGGAAAATGTGGAAAATTACAAGACCGATGTCTGATAATGATAATGGCTGCGATGACGATAATGATAATGATGATGGTGCAGTGCTGCAGCTTCCTCATTTTCTTCTCTTCTTTTTTTTTTTTTTTTTAGCTAGTCTAGGGAAAACTCAAATCATTAGAGTGATTAAAGGTCGAGCTGACATGACAAGAGTTCCTTTGACTTGACTCTGACCCTCATCATCTTGAGCTCTCAAATCAGTCACGGAAAATTCTTGAGCTCTAAAAATCTGTCAAAATGAATTTAGCCAATTGTACTTGTACTTTTTCGGCGAGAAAAATCTTGTTTACCACCTTTCTTTGGAAAATTCCCTAAGACTTTATATTAGGCATATTTTATGAAAACATTTCAAAGCTTCTTGACTTTGACCAGGAAGTAACCCTTATCATCTGGCAGCCTTAAAGTCAGTCAAGGATAAAGCTTTCAGCTCCTACGAATAATTTATGAAAAGATTATGCAATAATATGAATTTAGCTGATTGTAAATGTATTCTTAGGCAAATTCACAAAAGCTAATATGTGTTTAACTTTGCTTTAATATTTATTTTTTTAAAAACCTGACCTAACCTTTGTCATTTTGAGCTCTAGAAACTATCATAAAGGCTCTTAAAACTTGCAAAAATCTTGGAAAAATAAACAAAAAATAAAATTGTAAATTTATTTTAAGAAAATTTCACTACCTTAATTTTTTAACTCCTCTAAAAACTTCATACATTATTTCTTAAAAATAAATATTTAAGGTCTCTTGCCTTTCCGTTTGTACATAAAACTAAAACCAAAACTAAACCTTTTTTTTAAGCTTCAAAACTAAACTAAATATAATAGTTAATTTTTTATTCATTGTTTTTGTTATAACCCCGAGAACCGTAGAAATCTTTTTCTAGCTAAAATTTAAGATGAAATTTAGCGATTTTACTAAAACAACAAATAACAGCAACTATACTAAAGTATATAAAACGAAAAAAGAAAAAAACAAACTAAAAGCAAAAAAGCAAAAAAAGAAAGGAAAATAGTAAATGTGTACTATAAGTCAGCTATGCCTAGGATTAAGTTAAATGTATGATAATTTTTTTTTATAAAAACCTATACATAAATACTGAAAGTATCGAGAAATGAACTACAGAGAGAAGCCCAGCAAACACAAACCAAAAAAAAAATAATATTTAAAACCTTGTCTTTTTTTTTTCCAAAATGACTGCAAGCATTGTAATTGTAATTGTAAATTGTCGAGCGACAAAAAAATTGTATACAGATACGAGAGCATTAAATAAATATGTACTTGGAAAAAATGCTTCAAAATGTATGGATTTAAATGGATATGGCGAAAGAGAGATAAGATAGTGCGGGTAGAGAGTTGTGAATGTGAGGATTTGCTAGTATCTGAATGTGTGTAAAATAAGAGACCCCAAAAAGCTATCGAATAAAAATTCATTTTGTGAAAACGTGAATAATGTTTGTTCTTAATTCATTTGTTGGTTGGCTTTGCTGTTGACCCCAATTTCGGCCCGAAAATATGCCATTAGTCGGTTGAGATCGCCCCAAAAAGTAGGCAGCACTCTCAAGTGTCGATAAACACACACACACACACACACGCGCACGCGGAAGCAAGCTCACGGCGTTGGAGGCAATCGGATGACCCAATTAGAGGGGAGCCCCACATTACGGATTCACATTCACATTCAGATACGGATTCGGATTCGGATTCTGATTCAACTGGACCGGACCGCCCGGAGGCGTCATCACAATCACGGCTGACACGAATCGCATAATTATGCGGGGTATCATTAGAGTTTAGGGGTGTAATTGGATCTTGGGAAGGTTGGTAACAGTGCAGTACAGGTCAACATTATATTTTGGCAATGTAAGTAACATCTTTTTAATATTTTTAATATTTTTTAGTTAGTTTTTTAGTGATTTCTTTAGAAAAAAGGAAATCTGATCATTTTTTGTTCATTATTTTTTCTTTTCTTCTTTTAAGATATCTAAAAACATACTTTTAATGGATACTTAACCAAGTTTTACTACTCAAAATGCTAATTGGAAAAGCCAGAATAGAACTTTAAGAAGACGCCATATTAGTCTGACATTTTAATATGAATTTATGGATCAAAGAAATGGCTGTCAAGATGGCTAAATTATTATCTCTTTTTAGTAATATAAAATATATAAAATTAACATTTAAAAGAAACAAATGACAGCTTCTCGATTCCCAGCTACTGCTTTTTCTTTTATTTAAATATTTAATTTTATATTTTTTATTGCCTTTCCCAAGACCGGAAATTGATTAACTTGAATTATTCTCCCTGATTTATGGTTGATGGCTTTTAATTTTGGTAGCAGAAGAACCCCGTCTAACGACGAGTACGAAACGTTCTAAGTGCCTGGTATCTGTCAGATAACACCGGCCGTGTGTCTCCGAATCTGGAGCTCGCAGTGCGAAATGCAAATTGTCGTGCGCATTGCTATTGTTTTCTATAGATTTATGCACTCGGTCGATGCTGCGGCTGATTTGTGGTCAGCCGTGTGAATGGCCAGCTCATCGGATCGAAGTTCCAGCCATATAAAAGTGAACCCCGCCAGAGGGGTCGGTAGTCAGTCAGCCCACAAGATGCCATCGAGTCAGTGTCTACTGCAGCTGCAGCTGTTCCTCAGCGTACTGCTCCTTACCACCGCTCAAAGGATACCAGTTCGAGTTCCACCCAAGGATCTACAAGTGCCCAATTTCGGAGGAGAAAGCTTCGAGAGATTCGGCAGTGCGGGATCTACATCGAGTAGTAGCAGCAGTGAAAGCAGTCAGGAAACCAGTGACGAAATGAGGGAGCAACTTAAGCAACTTCTGGGTGACCAACTGGCGAATGCCTTTGCCCCATTGGCCACTACACCCTTTACCCAAAGGCAACCTGGAATTGTGGCGCCTCCATCTGGAGCAGCAGCTCGTTCGCAGTTCGCCAACGATTCGGATCCTGATCAGGATCAGGAACAGGATCCAGAACAGGATGCAAATGAAGAGGAGTCACCCGAGGAAGATGCCGAAGAAGAGGAGGAGGAAGAGGAGCAGACCACGCCACAACCTCCACCACAGCCACTGCCACCACCTTTGCCACAGCCAGGGGGCGTTGGAGAGGAACTGACTGGCGGTCAGGTGGGGGAGGAGGAGATTGAGGACTATAATGCCTGGCGCGATAATTTCTATGACCTCAACGAAGACGGCAGCTACATCTTTGGGTGAGTTTGCAAAACCGAAAAGCCATTGCCATGACTATTAAAAAGGCTTAAACAAGTAAGATGGGACTGAAAACTGAAGATTGAGTTGGGCTAAGACTTTACCTCGTCTTTGACAAGTCGAAAAGGCGACAATGTCGAAGATGAACTGAGTAATTTTCCACTAGCAGAGGGGGAGTCCTTTTGAAAAAGGCAACCTAAACATAAGTTTAGATAACTACTATTGTTAATATATGTATTACTTTTGTTAGTTACTCTATTCCCCATGGCGTTCGTCGCTGGGAGAAGGGTTACTTTTCAGAGGAGCATCATGGCCAGGTGGTGGAAGGTTTCTATGTCCAGCCTCGTCACGATTTACAGGGTCTGCGCTATGAGCTGCGATGCTACAGGGCCGATTCGAATGGCTATCAGCCATTGCCAGGTGAGAAGTTTTTTATAGTTTTTATATATTATATATAATTTAAATCTGAATAAAATGGTACCTTTTGCAGTGGAGTTTCTGAGGATACCGCCAATTGTGAGGCGCGATGAGGTGCCCCGAGTTAATTGCTTCCACAATAGCCAAGGATAATCGAGAAAAACAAACAAACAAGCCGAAACTTCACTAGTTAAAACCCTAAAAAAATGTATCTTATAGAAAGTGTTTTTCAAATACATTTTTTATAAGCTAAATCGGTTGTTTTAACACCTAAACTGACATTATTTTTTTGTGCACGAATGTAAATATATTTAAATTGAAAAGATTTTGCGAAAATGGTTTACTTTCTGCTCTAAATTTTAAACTATTAAAAATAGTTAAACAGGAAAAGAGGGAAACTTCAAGCCATAACTATAGAGCTAACTAAATGGCTTGAAATTTATTTGTTCGAAATTAGAAGGAACGTCCGGCCGACTGTCTTTGAGCCTTAGTTTATGGCCAAATTGCTTTAAGCACATCCCTGGGATAAAAACAGGAAACCGTGGACCATAAAGAACTTGAGCGCATAAGAAGCATAACAATCGCTTAACCGAATTTCTGGGGCTTACCCGTACAGTCATCACTTCCTTGTTTGCTTTTGGCGCTACTTTATTTTGTTTTACTCTCGTTTTTGCTTTTCCTTTTTCTTCATTTTTTTATATTGGCATTATTTTTGCCACTGTTTCGGCTTCCTTTCCTTTCGTTTCGTTTCTCGGTTTCAAGTTTAATTCAAATGGCATTTCAAAATACTTTTTATTTGTTTTTATTGTCTTTTATTTTCGCCCGGGTCCGTCCTCTGGTACTCTTTATTCTTTGATACACCGAGAGAAAAGTTTAAAAATGCTTTACAAATATCCAATCTTATGGGTTGAAAGGGAAATGGAACCCAAAGATTAGGGTTTTAAGATGCAAACATCAACTTCTTATACCATTCCCAGCTTAGTTTATATATTTAACGTTTGTTCTACATTTTTCTTCGAGTGTATTTGCCTCGCAATGGTTCAAACGAGATTTGTAGCTATGTGTGAGCTTGGCGTGGCTTTTGCGGCGTCCCTGACGTGGAGCGGTATTCCCACAGTTTTCAATTTTTGGCGATTTGTTGCGGCACTTAACGGTTGTTTGTTAGCTGTCATTGTTGTTGCTGATGAAGCGCCTTTTGTCTCAACTTCCCGCCATATCTCTTGCTCTTTCCCCCGGCGTTCTGCACACCGTTACAGGTCGACTTCTCTAAACTGGACGCCTAACACTAACGAAACTTCTTATCTCGATGTACCTCTTCTTACAACATGTGTCGAAAAGTCTATTATTTAACCAACTTCTGGGAAAATAATTGAAGTGTCGTACATCGCTGAGCTTGTAATTGAATTCCCAACAAACAGGCATTCAAAGTTTAAAAAGTATATTTTTTTGTCATTTTACACAAAGAAAGATAATACCCCAAATGAGACCAAAACAAATGATAAGAATTTTGGTGATTTCCCGATTTTCCCCTCAAAATTACAGTTTTTCCCTCATTACTAAGCCAATAATAACCCAAATATGGAATGCAATACCTCGTTGAGATTGCAATTAAATTCCTAACATTTCTGCATTCACAGATTAAAATGTCAAATTTGGGCCATTTTTCGAAAATTTTGATGAAAATTCGAAATGCGAATTTTGGCTTCCCCAAACCCTACAGAGTTTTGCTCATAACTTGGCCAATAATGGCCCAAATAAGGAATGTAATACCTCGTAGAGCGTGTTTTCTTATGCTTATCAAAACTGCATTCACAGTTTGAAATGCCAGGCTAGGGCCATTTTTCGAAAATTTTGATGATGGTACCCCTTATCAAAAATGCGATTTTTTGGTTCTCCTTACTTGCCCCAAAGTGAGATTATTTTTCCCATAACTCAGTCAATAATAGTCAGAATATGGAATGCAATACCTCGTTGGATTCGTAATTAAATTTCCAACAAAACTGCATTCACAGCTAAAAATCTTAACTTGGGCAAAAATTCACAAAAAAAAAGACGATGTTACCCCTTATCAAAAATTCGAAATTTGGCTTCTTCTTACTTTTCCTCATCACTGCTATACCTCATTGAGCTTGTTTTCAAATTTTTATCAAATCTGCATTCAAGGTTAAAAATTGTGAAATTTTTGCCAAAAAACCTGATGTTACCCCTTACCACAAATGGATTTGAAAACACTTGAAAAAGTTTAAAATGAAAAGAAAGTATATCATTTATACTTTGTCAACTACATGAAGAAGGTTGTATATAAAGAAGAAGGCTGATATACTATATAGACTAAAAGATAGATGCCTTTTCTAATGATTTTCTACTCACCAGAAGAACCAATGTGGGGCGAAGAACAGATTGAGAACGTGCGAGTCCGAAGAAGGCGGTAGCAGGCGTGGCCCATCCTGGTATGGTGGACAGCAGCCCTGGGTGCAACAGCCCTGGCTGCAGCCTTCGCAAAATCTAGCCGACACCTGTGAAAATACATTATAAAATTATTATAGATCATTAAATTATTCAAAGATTTTTTTATTAGCTGTGCGCTTTGTTTAAACTAAGTTAGAACTGAAAAAGTGTTAAAAAATAAAAAAAATTTACAATAAAATCATGATTTCCCCCCAAGACAGCTGTATTTTGCTCATAACTTGGCCAATAATGGCCCAAATATGGAATGTAATACCTCGTTGAGTTTGTTTTCTTATTCTTATCAAAACTGCATTCACAGTTTAAAATGCCAAATTTGGGCCATTTTTTTAGAACATTTTGATGATGCGATTTTTGGGCAACTTGACAGCATTTTTCTTATAACTTGGCCAATAATGGTCCAAATATGGAATGTAAATTACATTATGTAATACCTCGCTGAACTTGTTTTTTCATTCCTAACAAATCTGCATTCAAAGTTAACAATGTAAAATTTTCTCAAAAAAAAACGATGTTACCCCTTATCAAGCTGGCTAAGCCAATAATGGACCAAATTTGAAACGGCTTATATTTGCAATAAACTTAAAATATCTTTCCATTTATCGAGGGCTGTCTGTACTTGTTGTTGTTATTGTTGTTCCTGTGGTTTATTTGCGACTATCCCAAGACGGACGCGCCAAATTCTGGGCAAATTGTTTGGGCCAAGTCGCCAAAAAGGGGTTGCCCGCCCGCATCCGCTTCCACACCGAGCATATCTTCATCGAAAATCCACGACCACATCCGCGGGTCCCCAAAGTTTGCCCGACTCTGGCTTAAATACGAATTTGCCTAAATCAACAAACGGTGAGAACAGAACATTTTGTGTGTCTTCTTTGCATTTGAAAAGTAAAAAGTAACAAGATTTCATTGTGGCTCATATTGTCTTGTCTATTTGCATATCTTGCGCGTGGCTTTATAGCGATATATATACGGGCGTAAATAGAAGTAAATATACATTTATATAGTAGACCGACCTTTTGCATTATATAGTCAAGCCAAATGAATGGGCGGAGAGAGAGTCAAGAAACCAAAAAACAAAAAACAAAACAAAAAACAGGTTCATTTAGCTCACGTTTTGAACTTTCAGCGATTGATCGTGATTTTTATGGTGGTTTCTGTTTTTGTTTCTGTTTGCTGTCATTTGCATGAGTCAACCTCGAAAAGTAGGCGAACAAATGTCTTAGATAATAATTAATACTCTTAAATGATATAGGAATCTACTACTTCTTTCCCAATAAATAGAACTTTCTCTAATTTCCACACTTTCCTACAGAATTTATAAACATTTTTGCAGAACCTAAAAAGTAAACTTAAAATGTAATTAAACTCTACTTTTACATTGATCATCATTCACTTTTCTACTCCCCAAAAGACGTCAACGAACACCAAAAACTACAAACTAATTTCGTATCCAATTTCCACACATTTTTCCCCAAGACATACGAAAATTCTGTTTTGGTCAACTGAAAATCATGAAGTAATCAACTTAAAGCGAAACTTTGCCAGCCGAAACTTTGCGCAGATATAAAGATACCGAGATACTAGCAATCAGATACACAGATACCATGGGCCTGAGATACAAAACTTGGCTATAATTGAGCAATTTACACCACAACAAGATGATGTGGGTGGTTCTTTGGGTGGTTGGTTGGGTGGTCTTAGGAGAAGTTTTGGTTTTGGTCTCAGAAGGTCAGTGGACAAAGAGGAATCGGGGAAAGTTTACCCGGGAGCATCAAACAGTGCTGGAATGTGATAAAAATGCCGAGATTATGTAACCGAAATACTTTTAAATCGAAATCGAGCAATATAAATTCATGGCTTAGACACTTGAAAATGCCAACGATGGGTGGGACTACTTGGCCCAGGGCTCTCTCTGTCTCTCTCTATATACGTATGTTTTGTTGGCCTGTGTGGAGGATGCTGTGGGGGTGGGTGGGTATATTTGGGTGCCTGGTGGTTTTTCCTATTGGGAAAATGGGAAATGAAATATTGTGAACACAAGCCGAGAAAGCGAGAAAGGGAGAGTTGAACAACAGACAGAAGAGACAAAGACAGAGACAGTGAGCAACAGACAGCGACAGAGCTAAGTTTGCCATTTCTTGGTTTTTGGCTCTAAACAATATTTTATACTTATATACCCGAAGATATTTATTAGTTTGTTGTGTGCGCTGCTCCTACCCCCTCCCCTCCCTTCCCAAGCTTCACCATCCTTCTTAAAGCCTCAAAACTGCACATTCGAACTCCTTTTTTACGATGCCGCTGGCATTTACATGCGAAATATCTTAAGTCCCTGGCCATTAAAAGTCAAACGAATGCGATAAGATCGGCGACCGTTAGTCGGCACCTTAATACCTTCGTAGTATGAAAAACCCCCTCACAAAAAATAAAGGAAAATAAACTGCTAAAGGAAGCCGCGAAAGTGGCAGAGCTGTTTCCGAATAAATTCATACATTTATTAATTACGCATGCGGTTTGACGGACTCTCGAGAATTTGAGCTGCCAAAATGGTATGTTAACCCTCAGCTGGTGGCTGTCTTTTATATGGCCTCCACCCACGCTTTGAAAGGAATTTGATTTAATGAAATATATAGAAAGGGGAAACGATCGATCAAAGCTGTACTTTAAGAAATTGATCATTAATTATGCCATAATTTATCAACAGATTTCATTTCATTTCATTTTTTAATAAAATGTCATTTTGCAGTTAATCAATCATAAGACTAACATTAATCAATAAATAAGCACAAAAAAGGTTTAAAATATTCACACATTTTAGTGACTAAAACTAACAATTTAAGCACCAAACTAACTCCTCTTAATAGCCAGCAAATATGAATGACAAAATCTATCAAAGGAACTAAACAATTAAGAAGTCGCTGTCAAATCAAAGTCATCGCAAACAAAAGCCAAGGAAAAACATAAATATTTAACCCAGTGGGGTGTGATGAATGTCTGGAGTCTGGAGTCTGGAGTCTGGCATTTATCACACACACTCTCGGCCACAAGGGTTAAGCAATTAGGGCCAGATGGTGACGCCTACACTGGCCAACCAAATCGATGACCAACTCACTCACTGACTGGGCAGGGGGGGGAAAAAAAAAGAAGCAAACACACAGATGAATGGGGAGGGAAGAAAGATGGGCCAAGACGATAGCAATGTGGAACGATGACGCGCCTGGTCAATGAACCATGTCGATGGGATTCCGATTGAGGATGAGTCGACTTGCATCTGGGCCTGACACACTTCGGTCGACTTTGGGCGCAACAAACAAACAAATAATCAAACAAACAAAACGGAGTAAACAGGCCGAAGAAGAATCCCGTCGGCCGCCAGGTCCAAGGATTCTGTCGGCCCCAAAAAAAAAAAAAAAATGCTGTCAAAGTCACAAAAGCCACCGTCGTGACGGCTCACAAAAACTGAGGAAACCGACAAAAGAATCATTCTTGAAGGGGTTCAGTGCTGTCTGCCGCCTCTCTTTAGAAGGAATAATGCTGCCTTTATAGGGTTAAGCACAGAGCACAAAAGCGAAAAGAAATGTCCAAGTAATTATTATGAATGAATTTTGTGTATCGCCTTTGTGGTGGCATTTTTTCAGGTGATAAATAAAGCTAAATTTAGCTAGAAAATAAAATTAAACTAGCCAAAGTTTAGACTTAGTTAACATTACCTTAGGACTTATCATTTTAAAATTAAACTAATTACGTATAAAGCTAAAAACAAACATAAAACAGAAAACATTTCTCCCACCAAACTACCTACTAATCCCTCAAAAACCAAGCCAAATTTAATAGCTAACCCAAATGCGAGCATCTCTGACTCTGAGGTGGAATCTGATAAGGAAGGGAAATGGAGATGTGGGTGAGTTTGAGAGTTTGGCAGTGTGGGTCACCGATGGCCCTGCCAAATCATCATCATTGACGTTCTGGGCCAAGGAGGTGTTCATTATTATACTTCAGAATCAGCCTGTTGCCTTTCTTCTTGTCCCTGCCACCTCCTCGGACATTGGACATTTTTCATCTTTAGTGCCGAAAGGCTTCACTTTTGAGTGGTCTGTGTCTTCTTCTTCTTTTTTTTCAGCGAACGCTTATCTTTGGGTATATAAAAGCCAGCGATTTGCCTTCAATGCCACAGAATCGATTATTGAAGCCAAAGTGCAACAACATGTTCCCTTCCAAGAAACTCTATGTAACGCTGAATATCAGCTTTTTGGTGATCTGCCTGCTGCTGCTCAGTCCTGTCGATGCCCGATGGACACGAAGACCAAGGCGTACCACTACGCCAAGGAGTACTACGAGTAGAACCACAGTGAATCCAGATCGTCATCAGCATTTGCATCACTGGCCACCATTGGTGGCACCACCGGCACAACCCCAAACTCAGCCACAAGTGGTTGTGGTGCAAAAGCCCAGCCATGTAGATACTAGTCCTCGGCTGATTGACAGCTACGATCAGAGATCCCTCGATGGGCAGTACGAGTTCAGGTAAGATGACTCCTGAAATGAGGAAAACTATTATTAAAATATCCAAAAATATATCACTCATCCATCAGATATCAACTGGACAATGGTAACACCCGCTATGAACGTGCCTACTGGCTGCCTGTGGGCAAGGAGCTTGTCCTGGCCAAAAAGGGATACTATTCAGTGCCCCTGCCAAATGACAAATACTCGACAGTCTTCTATACGGCCGATCATCGTGGTTACCATGTGGATATGCGTGAGTTCGGACCCCAAGTCCATTTATTTTCCCCCAAAGCCGCTAATGAATTTATCCAAAACGCAGAGACATTATCCGTGGAACAGCCGCTGTTGCCACGGAGCCTCGAAGTGCCCGTAATGGAGAGGGAAATGGGTACCGAAATGGGTACGGGTACCGGGACTAAGCGAAATTCAATAAGCGACCCGGAGCGTAACGAGCTGGATGTGGTAGTGGATGAGGATGAGAATGAGGATGTAGATGTGGATGTGGACGCAAGTGGAGCTGGCACCGAGCTGGTTCCTAATGTAAGTGCCACTGGGGGTTAGCTTTCCTCAGAATCAGGCGTGCCCTCTATATGAATGCACTGGGAAAATTATTCCAATTAATATACTGCAAGAAGTAAAAGGGGTTTTCCAATAGTTAGAACTTAAAATTTCTCCAAGGAAAGACAACATTTGAATATTCATAGTTACCACTCGGAGAAAATCCCTTCCTAGCTTAACTTGTTAGATCCAACTTAGTAGTATTATGAGATTTTATAAGAAATTTCAGTTTTGATTTCATTTTTCAACTGTGCATTTTCCCCTTTTGCTGCAGGCTGTAAACCAAGTCGAAACCGAAACCGAACCATCAACTTTGGCCAACGACATTTTGGCAACTGAAGCACCAGCCGACAGCCACGTTGTTGACGACCATCATGATGATAATGATGATGATGACGAGGATGATGATGATGATGATGGAGAAGGCGCCTCAAACTGAAAGCCCCAAACATTAGAGGACATTTCGGCATACAGAGGATGGAGATTGAAAATGGCAAGGGGGACACACACTTGGCTGACTCGCAGCTCGCTCTACTTGCTGCAAATCAAATTGAAAACAATTGTTGCAGTCACCAGTCCGACACAGTTGAGTTGGCCAGTAGTCACTATATATATATATATATATTCCAAGAAGCTGTAGCTGGGACAGCAGTTGAAGTCAACTCGACTCCACTTAACTCCATCTTCATCTTCATCTTTGGAGTTCATGGGGAATGTGTCTCAATTGCCCGCTTGACAGCTCCTTCCCCATCCCAGTCTCTGTCTTCTGTTTGCCACTCTATAAGATATATGATAGATAGATATATAAATATATATTTTTTTTTGCAATATTTAATAAAAGAAAGTAAACGTAAGACTTGAATTTCAAGTGGTTTTTGTGTCAACACTTTCTAATGAGTTGGAGAGACAAAGGGCACGTCTAACCAATCTTTAAATTTTGTAATATTTTTAAACTAAAACTTACCCCATCTTAGTTACCAGAAATTACATCATGTTTGGACACCCAAAAACGAGGTCCATTCAAGCAATTGCAAATAGTTTAGAGATGTCAAAGCCAAAGACCAAGGCACCTCCTAGCAACGTGTGTGTGTGTGATGGCCAAAAGATGAGACATTATGAGGCGGCTGACAAAAACACATTCGAGCCTCAATTTGCCAGCTGGCCGTGTTTTTTTTCTTGGTCTTTTGTGCGAGGCCTTTGGATCGTTGGCTTTGCCGCCTTTGCTGGTTTCAATTTAAATGGTTTCTGGTAAAAACGCCCCAAATTGGGTGGCCGCATTGGTGAAAAGGCGATGCCAGGAGATTTGTCGGCGGCAAATCGGTGAGCATTCATAAAACTTCTCCATCTCCATCTCCGGCCTGGGCCTGGCCCCTTCCATTTTGCCCTCGAAACTGCATGTTCTGGTAAGACTCGGCTGCTTACCTTACACCCACCCACAGTCAGGTGCACATATGCTCGTAAAATGCAGAGTGCACTTGGAAAAATAAGGTAGTAAAAAGTGCATATTCCTAAGGAAAGTTTAGCTAAAACAATGTTTGAGATGACTCATAAAAATCTATCTTGGAGATTTCTTTTAGCAAACATTCCCAAACTTATCCTTATTTTAGCTACCAAAAAAAATCCACATTTTCTTCCAGTGTCGAGTGAATCGGGACCAAGTTCTGTGGCAGGATAACTGCAGCTATTCATTTCGCTACTAATCCAATGCGGGCCTGGGATTCGGGTTGGTCCTTTTAGCCGCTTCTTTAGCCGTTCCTTTGGCCGCTCTCCCTTGTCCTTGGCCCCTTTTTGTATTTACGATTCAGCCATGCCCACGTAATGAATGGCAGGACCTTCTCCTGCTCCTCGGGCGTGTGAATGAATTGAGTGTGCAAATGGCTGAATGAATGAATGAATGAATGAATGCGGGCTGGATATGTTTTTATGGCCTTTAGTCCAACCAGATCGATGGATAGTGCCGTGATGCCGTGAGTCACGGTGTCATCACTGGCCAAAAGGCATAACCTTGCCTGCAAGTCCGCCACATTTCGCCCAGTTTCCTTTTCTTAATTTTATATGCGACGATGCCTGCATCAAAGTTTACACATTTACAACACACACACACACAAACACACACACACTGACACACCCACAACACATAGATACAATCTCAGGAGAAGCTCTATAAAACCAGGAGCCGCCATTGGGAATGAATGAAGATTGAATGGACTTTGCAGTGGATTCGCAGCTCATCCCGCCCAGAATTCGCCGAGGCACCCAAACACATTAGCATTTTCCCGACAGGCTCCGCACAATATGATGGATTACGCACCCTTACAAAAAATATATATGCTTAACAATTTCAATGGGAAAACTGAAATACAGAGAGAGAGAGAGAAATTATGTTTAAGTTTAAGTTTAAGTTTAACTTAAATATATTTTATTCTATTTTTATCTTAACTCTTTACTTATTTACTTATTTTCATAATTTTTATATTTTCTCTTAGTGTAGCTCTTAAAGCGTTGCCTATTTATAAGGTGCCATCGATGGGTCATCGATGACCCTTGTCCCGGATTACCAATGTAAATATTCACACGGACCCTTTAACCCTTAACCCTTAACCCCATCATTTGACCATTTGCCGAAATTAATTTATCTTCATGAGAGAACTCTTCAGAACTGAAAAACAAAACGCATTCGAGTCCTCGAGGGACCTGACCTGACCCATGTCCAAATCTAGTTCGGCCGCCTTATTGTAAATAAATAAATAGAAAAATAAATAAATAAATTGAGTAATGGCCATAATTGACGTGTCGCATGAAAAATTCAAAGCGCCAACACACACACACACACAAATTGAATGAGAATGAGAATGAGAATTCGTATTCGAATGCCAGCCATTGAACTTCAGCTCTGCTAACCGCACCGCCCTCCCCCCCCACAGAAAGTCTCTCGATTTCGATCCATCTAAGCCAGGCCATCCAAAATGAAGCCAAAACAGTTCAGAGTGTGTGAGTGACTGCGGCATTTTCCAGATTTATATCGGGGTTATCAAACCTCGAAGCACAATGAGACCAAGCACACCATCCCCCCGTCCCGAAAAATCAAACGGAGTTTGGCTCTAAAAAAGCGGCTAAGATATTTGTTGGTTTTTTGTAAACCGGGCACATACCATCGCCCAGATGGCTAAAAAGAAGAAAGAGGGTAGAGATAATATCTGAGGTTATACCGCAAATATTCTACACAGGAACCTGCTCTCTCTTTACTTTTTATCTATTAAAAGAGATTTTTATTTGATTTTCAAAACTTGACAAAACTTGAGAAGATCTTGCGATGTGTTTAGAGTTGTTCCTTAAAGTAAGCTTAAAGGCTCTTTAAATTTTGCTTACTTATCACACTTATTTCTCGCACTGTACCCCCAAAACACTCCCCCCAACCCACAACCTCCACTAATGTCTTTCTATTTATGCATACGGTTAGGTATTTCGTATTTCAGTTTATCAAAAACAAGACTCCATCTAATCTTGAGATTAATAATGCGGCTCTGCGTAAATTTCAATTGTGACCACAAAACGGTCAGAAGGACAGACACACACACACACCCTCACACACACACACTCATATGCTGTCCGCAAAAATGTCGATTTAATGGGGGACCTCAGCTGCAATTTCGCCAACGGTCAGCAAAAGTCCAACCAAAGAGGAGGAGGGGTTTAAAAAGGGTCGTAACCAGCCCCTTTTTATGGTTAGAATTTTATTGACTCGGATTAGATACTGGCTACTGACTACTGGCTACTCGCATCCATAAGATACACATTAGAGAGATGGAGATGGTGCCGACCTGCTGCATACGATTGCAGCGTTTCGACCAGATTTCCTGCCATATTTTCGGTAATTGAGAATTGTGAATTTCGGCCAGGCTTAGCCGCTTAATAAATTTATGCAAGCCGAGATAGAGAGATACAAATGTATCTGCCGGGAGGAGGATCTGTAGAAATTCGCTCAAGTACACTGTGAGAAAATGTTAGATATATAATTTCGCTTAAAAAATACTAAATTTAGTTATTTTCTTATGAAATATTTAAGAAACTATATTGGTAGAGATATTTTATTTAGAAATTAAGTTACTTTCCATCATATTTCCATGTTTTCTGTTAACTTTTTCAAAATTTAAAGCTTCTAAAATCCATAAAAAATATTTCTTCACTCCAAAACATCTCTCTCTTTAACTTGTTTTTAAGTTCTCTAAACAAATCTTAAATATATTCAAATTTGATCCCCGTGCATTTGCAGCAAGTTTCGTTGTTAGAGAACTCTGCTTCCCCTGCTCCCTTCTTCCTCCTATTCCCTGTATTTGTTTATCATTGCTTATTTTTATTTATATATATTTTTATTTTTATTTGTATTTTGTTTTTGTTTTTGTTTTTGCTGTTGTTGTTGTTGTTGTTTTTTGCACAGGCACTCAGCTTGCGGATTTTATAATTTATGCAAGATACCAAACAAACTCAGCTTAAGTCTTACAAATTGTTTTGAGATGCTCGGCATATCATATACAAAAAAAAAGGAGGAAAAAGCAGCAGAAATCTGTATCTGAGTTTTGAAGAGCACCGCAAAAAAAAAAATATAACCAAGAGTGGGGGAGAGGGCGGAACGTGATTTGATGGGAATTATTCCATTGCCGGCAACAGGCAGCCAGGCAGGCAGGCAGGCAGAGACTCAAAGCCGCAAAAAAGTGGGCAAAGTGCTCCAGACCAAAAGGTAGCTATTCGGGAGGAGTACGGCGGCTCGGTTTCTGGTTGAGGAGTGGAGAGTGGGGAGTGGGGAGTGGGAGGCGGAGGCGGAGGAGGAGGAAGGGCCCACAACAAGTTGTATCTCGGAGATGTCATGTCACGTAGCAGCCAGCGCTACATGGACCATTCATACAAATTTTGTTTTATAAGCCACTTTTATACGTTATTTGTGTGTAACTTTGTCCGATTCAGACGGGCTTCTTCTGCCCCGTAGTATGTTTATCTGTAGCTGTATCTTTCCCGGGCTTACTTTTCTTTTTTTTTTCGTTGGTTACGTTTGGTTTGGGCCATTTCATTGCCGACGCTGTAGATTCACTTGCCAGCAATTGCCACGGCCCATGGTACAGTGGTTGCGGACTAAGAAGTTTTCTAGTTGTGATTTTTAAGGTTATTATATAAAATTTAACTGCCTAACAATATAAAACATAGAATCCTTAAGAAATTGTGATATTTTTATGAAGGTTTTTCCACAATTTTCCTATCAATATTAAGCCTTGAGGTGTACTACTTGGAACTCCTTTCTAGTCAGATGAGAAAACCCCTTTCAATACTCCATTTTTGATTAATCTTATAACCCAATTTTTAACCCATTTACTTAACATTTACAAACCACTGTGCCGCCGCTTCGCTGCGTGCTGAAAGCTGCAGCACGTCGTCAACAGAATGTCGAGGGTCCCCACTCTGACACCTACAAAGTAAGACAAACCGAGGCACCTCCTGCTGCTCCTTGGCCATTGATGTTGCTGTGCTGTGCCTGCGTGGTAGGTGGGAAGGAGGGGGGTATAAACTGCAACCTGCCCAAAAATAACCAACGCACGGTAATGACAAACAGCGTTGTTGTCTCAACCATTTAGCATCACAGACAGCGGCACTCAGAAAAAAAAATATTTCTTTGATTCAAAATATAAAAGTTAAAGATAAAACTATAAAGATAATGTTAATCTGTGATAGATTTTTCTACTATATATAGCAGTTAAATATTAACTGACTTTAAGTTCATAGTTTTTATTTAAAAATTTCTTTCTGTGCTTTTGGCAAGACTACCAGGAATCGCTTCCTGTCACGACTGCACAGCGGCAACATCTTCCTTCTTCTCCTGTTGATTCTTTTTCGGACGCTGGCTTTGTCATCGACAGACAAAACAAATGACCTTGCTGATGAGGCATCCCAACTACACTACACCTCCCCCTTTGAGCCACTTCCTCAGTGACTACCACGGCCTCAGCTTCAGCCTCAGCCACTGCTCTTTTTTCCAGCTACACAAAACAAAAATAAGTCAAGTCAGGCCTTGCCCGTTTTTTTACACACAAAATGAAAATGTTTTTCAGTTTTTGAGGCTTGAGAATATATAGAATCATAAAGATAATCTTAGAAAAGCTCTTATTTAGATAAGAAATAATAATAAGTAATAGTATTTAACAAGATATAAATTATAATAGACAACGCTGGTAACTTTAACTTGACAAGTTCTTCGCTACGAAAATCAACAATAATAAAGATACTTTTCAGATGGTCTTATGATGATTTCTTTATTATTTTATTAATATATATAATCCGCTTACCAAATCCTATAATCCCTTAATTTTCTCCCAAGACACCTTTAACCCCTTCTTGCACATCAACAAATTTTCTGTCTCTGTTCCATTGAGCGCAACAAGTTTGGCAAACATTTTTGCACTTTTGTATTTTAATTTCTGGTGCTGAGCGAGCGTCGTCTTTTGTTCGCCTGGCCAGAATGTGAAATGAATGCTTTGTCACAGCCACAGAGATAAAATACGTTTATAAATAAATCAGTTTACGGCAGGATGAAGGAAGTGCCTGCCTGGTGTTGCCTGATGTTGCTGATGTTGCCGCTGCAGATGCTGCTGGCGTGCTGATGTTGCTGTTGCCACTTTGGCAAGTTTAGCGCGCCTTTTTGGCCCCCAAAAACAGGCTGACAGACTGACAGACTGAGAGAGTGACAAACTGACAGAGTGACTTACCGAGTGCGTGACTGACTTAGCCAGCGAGTGAGCGACTGTGACTGCGATTGTCACCGTTCTGTCACTGTGACTTGGCCATAAATCTCATCCAGATGCCACAAAAATCCATAATAAATTCATAAATGCTATCTGTTTTCGTTTTTTAAATTGATAACTTTTAATGCATTGGCATGACCTTTGAGGTGTGGCTTAAATTAATTAAATGGCGATAAGTTCGTGTCGACATATTGACAGCTGCCCCCGAGCAGCACTAACCGATAAGTTTTGCCCTGTCCCTGAGAGTCCCTGGCTCAATTGCACATCATTAACTTTGGCCGACTGACCAAGTGGCCCCCAAGCTCTCTTGCCCCTGCTCCTCCCTCCTCCCTCCTTACTCCTCCCTCAAACTGAGATCCCAAGTTCCCTGTGTTCGCTAAATCGCTGCACATTAAATGCAATTAAGAAATGATTGAAATCATAAATTAGCCCTAATTGGCCACAGGACGCTTGCCTCGTTGGCCTCCTCTTCATTCTCCTCCTTTGAGCCATACTCCTTGTCCCTGATGTTGCATCTCTGCCGCTTGGTGTAACGATGACAGGCGGCACGTATTGGCTGGCCAAATTGTAGGGTGCAAGAATCGTTGTACTCGTATTTTTAGCTACTGCCCCGGCACCGTGGTTTAAGCGGATGAAAACCACATTCCATTATAAATCGATTTCAGTTTGAATTGAGCTCTTTATGACTTATTTTCCCCTACATGATTGCATTCTAAAAATGTACTTAAGGTTTTTGAAAGCTACTTATTATTAGTTTATCCACTAATATGTATTTACCTTTACCTAAGTTCCTTTTCTGGTAAATTAACAGTCTTAGCTGTCCTCCTTCTTCTGCTCTATTTTAAACCCTTTTTGGACTACATCACACACATATATATATCAACATATTAACCACAAAAATTAAACACTTTAATAGTTAGTTAACATTATCTATTAGCTAGTAAATCACCATCACCGAACTTAGCTGAACTAAAGACAGTTTGTGGCGATTCCCTGGCCATCCATCAATTGGCTGCAAATCGATTATGTCTGCTGTATCAGTTTCCAAATGTGATTGCTTAGCTTCATGCCCTGCTGCCACCCACTATAGCCCCCTTAACCCCCCAAATGCAGCACAAAACCCCCTCTGTTAACCCATTGTGGGCAATTTGGCGGCCGTGCGAACAGCACCAAAAGCAAACACACAAAAGAGGCGCAACCAAATTGCCCAGTTAGCAACCTGTCCAGCCCCTGTACCGCCCTGTCTTAACCCCCTCTCTCTCTCTCTCTCTCTCTCTGTGTGTTAACCCATTGAGCTGGGCACACCGATAAGCATGTGTGTAAGTAGATGAAATTAAGATTTTTTTCGTATGATTAAGCGTTGAGAATTTTTGACGGCAATGGCTCAGAGAGTTGTACACTGCACTGAGGGAAAATGTGTGGAGTTTGGGAAATACAAAATATGTGCATACATAGGGCGATCTTATATATACTTTTAGAAAGATAAAAGAGGATACTTCTTACATAAAGGATCATAGATATATCCCCTTTTAAGCCCATAAAGACTGTATTGCTTTAGCAACTTCTTGAGAAAGATATTCCCCACATTTCTAGCTGTGTATTTCAGCTCTCAGTTACCCTTTCGGATATCCCGCTCAGGCTGGAAGATCTTGAGCTTCGTTTCAGTCGCTGTCGACTGCTCTGCTCGCGTCGCTGCCACCTCGACTTGGCGACTATAAAAAGCCAAAGTTACACTGTTTCCGAATTAAACTGTTAACAAAACAACACGCGACAGCACACAATATCATACCTCCAACCTCCCCATCCATTAATCTCCACACATCTTCCACATATCATCATCACGCACATCCGCTTCGAAAATGTCCACTTCCGGCCTAATCCTGATCTCCATTTTCCTACTAAGTTCGGCCCTCATTTCCGCCCAGCATATCAAGGAAAATGAAAGGGAAAAAGAAACGGAACGAAGTGTAAGATTAGTGGATCGCTTCGATAACCGATATCCCGATGGAAGCTACGAGTATCGCTTCGAATTGGATGATGGAACGACGCGTTACGAACGCGGCTATTTTGCCAAGATCAATGATGTGAAAACTCTAATGGTTGTAGGCTACTATGCTTATCGGATGACCGACGGCAGATATATCACCGTCTTCTATAATGCTGATCAGTTTGGTTATAGGCAAAATCAGTGTAAGTTTAAGTTTAAATTTATATTAGAACTTAACAAGAAATCTTAGGAGCCTAACTTAAGAACTTCAACCTTAACCCCTACACAGTAATCATGGTCTATATTGACCACAACTCACATGATTAATGTTAACGAGCTGCCCATTAACAAGGCTCCTTCAGCATTAAATTAACAAGACACGCAGACACCCACCGATTAACTAGCCCAAAGATAGCCACCTCTCAGTATCCGAATCTGGTTTATATTAAATTACATTTCGATTTTTCTTCCCGCCCACAGCGATCACGCCGCAAGTGTATCCCGACCTACCGCGTTCCATTGAGCTGCCCATGGCCAGCGAGACGATGTCCAGCTTCGGTTCCCGTACTCAAACCCAATCCTCATCCCAGTTGGAGTCCCATGGAACAACCACGACGACGACGACGTCGACAACGCCCCGAGGAGCGGGGACGGCGAATCGCAGAGGCCGCTACTGAGATCCCAGTAATTGCAAACCATCCTCATTATTATCATCGTTTCCTTCTTTTTTTTTTTGTAGTATTTTCTGTATCCCCTCGACTACTCGTATTATATTATTATTATACTTTTTTTTTTGTGTTCAATGAAATGGAATTAAAAAATAATAAAAATTTATTAAGGCAAAGCAGAGAAAATTATGAATTTATTATTGAAGATGTTTCGAGTTGTTTGTAGCTGTTTTTTGGCTTTTTTATGGACCACGCCCCTCTGCCTCCCCTTGTTTGTTGTTGTTTTTGTCTTTTGGTTGGTAAGATTTCGCGATTTTTTCGAAAGTCGCCGACAATTTGGCCATAAATTTACCAGAAAGCGTTTCGGGCAATAAAACATACAAGTGCAGGGCAACCCCTCGCCACCCTGGGGTTCATATATATATATATATATATATATATATATATATATATCTGACCATATTTTTGCATTTTTAACACATTTTTGGCGAGGTTCTCGGGCCGAGGGCAATTAAGAAACGAAAACGAAACCAAACCAAAAACACAGAAAGAAAAATCAAATTAAAAATTAAAAATTTAAAAAATTAATTAATATATAGCTAGTTCTTCTTGTTCATAAAAAGATAATCTGGGCAGCCATGATATTGGATTAAGTACAAAGTCATAAGAAGTTAAAAATACAAATAACCATAAAAAGAGAATAACAATTTCGTTTACAACTTTTGGCTGTTAAAGAAGGAAATGTGTTTATAATTTCAAAGAGTTGCCTTTAATCAGCGAATAAAAAAGAAATTGGGCGTGGGAAACTTTGGATTTCAATAAAAGTGATTAAAACTGTTAACTTTGATTAATATTTGTTTATAAAATATGTAGTAAAATCTCCTTTTTATAGCATTTAATAGCAAACTTTTCTTCCACTGCAGGAACAAAGTGAAATGAAATGGAAGGCTGCGAAAAGGAATGAAATGGAAGTGGAATCCGAAGCTCGCAGCTCGCAGCTCACAGCTCAGAGCTCTCGAGAGTGTGTGAAGGTTCATCATAAATTTATTAAGTGCCGACAGGATACCTGGGAAACGAGTTCAACGCTCGGCTCGACTGGCAGGCTGACTTGCAGAATTAATCCAACTGGCACCTTTTTTTTTCGGGCCAACCGACCGACTATTAAGCCATAAAACATAAAAGGCCATTAAAAATCATCTTGAGATCGGATTGCAATGTACCAGCTTAATTGCAGGCCCTCAAAAATAAAGCATGATTTGTGTGCTCATAAAACTGAAATTGATTTCAAATCAGATTAACTCAAGTGTTGCATAAGAACAACGATTAAAAAACCCAAAAAATATCAAAAAGTTAGCAAGAAAGACAATGAATGCCTTAAATCGGAGAATATTTTGCTAATGAAAGAATAAAATTGGATTAAAAAAAAGAGGAAATTGCAGAAGCTCAAGCTTTTGGCTGCAATGAAAGGAATACTTGGCTCGCGGTTTTGGTAAGCCAAAGAAAAGACGGTTGGAAAAAGGGGGGGCTGAGAACTTGGGTGGAAATGGTTAAAATAGAAGGCGGTGGTGGGGCAGGTGGCTTGCGTGGCCTTCGTGGCCTTCGACACTTGACTCGATGGCTTGCCACTGTTCGCATTAAGAAGCTCAGCTCAAGATAGAAATCCAAAGAAAAAAAAGGACCACAAAACTTGGGAAAAATAAAAATGAAAAGAGGAAAATCAGAGGGGTTAGTAAATAACTAGATGCTCTCGGTTAGAGGTAAATATATATCTGTATTTTATAAGAATTTTTGATATAATTCAAAGGAAAATTTAAAGAAGATTTGTACGAAAAAAAACTGTTTTTACGTTGAAGAAGCTTTGATTTGTTTGAGAAAACTTCTTAAAACTTAGAAAAAGGCTTTTTTGGATATATTTTAATAATAGAAACTTCTGCGACATACAAAACTAAACCCACCTAAAGAGAGTACAAGGCAATCTCCTTCTAAACCAAGTAACTTAATCCCATTTGAATTCCTGTAAACTTCAAGTGACTTTACTTAGAATCCCCAGTAATTAGAGTCTTTCCCTTCCAGCATTACTGCAGCGGCGATTGCTCAGTTTGTGAATTATTGTACGAGAAAAACACAATAAAACCAACTTTCCGAGAAGTACTTAAAGCGCCTTTGCAGTTCAACACGAACCGGCAATCTGCCTGGAAATCCGCACCAGAACTCCCAGGACTTTTCGACTTTTCGACTTTTCTTCCAACGAACAACGAACAACGAACGGACACATGTAGCTGGGAGTCGTTAAAATTATCAATGAAACTTTACAAATCTTCTCATCCTGGGCAGAAAGGAGGGCAGAAAAAAGTAGTGAATTGTGGGCCAAGGGGCAATGGAATGGAAAATGCGAAAGGAATAAAGCCAAAGTTAAGTTGCAACTTTGTTAACTTTGACGCTTATTAAAGAGATGAACAATCCACCCAACTTAGTAATGGAAAAAAAGTAAAGCAAAAAAAAGGGGGGAAAAACGAGCAGAAGAATTTCTTCAACAACTTTGATTCGATTAAAGACTTTAAAACAAAATTTCAAAACCCCTTTTTCGTCATCATTTCAATGTCAATGCCATATATATTTCCCTCACTGATTTTCCATTAAATTCACATCACTCGAAAAATCTTAAATGCCTTTCACTTTGTTTTTTCCTGCTTGGGCTGAAATATAATCAAAAGGCAATAAATATTGCAAATGTGACAAAGCAGGCAAAGTTTAACTAGGACATGGGCCCACCTTCTTCTCTGGTCCTCCCCCCGCCCCCTGTCGTTCCCCAGGAAACGGCTACAAAATGTTTGCATGCTGCGGTAACAGCAACAAACAGCGAAAACAGCGACAAAAAATATATGTAAACCAAAGCCAAAGGATGAAGAATAAACAGAGGTGGAAAGGACATCAAAAAATGAGCAAGGACCAACATTAACTTGGCCTAGCCAAAGCGGAGAATACCCTTAAATAAAGTTACTAATTTACAGATTATTCGGTGATCGATGGAGTCTTCTATACATTTTTAAGGACTTAACTAGACTGTTTTGTTAACATTTTAAAATAAAGATTAAAAAACACTATAATAATAATTTTAAAAATCATTAAATATAAGAAGAAACTGTACTTCCGAAACCAAAACCCCTGCTAGACATTGATTACCTTCCATTTTTAGAGGGTATAAAAAAAGGGATAAGCATTGTGGCACACCCGTTGAGAGGGCGGGCGGCGGCGGCGGTGGCGGCTAAAAAGGATGGCGAAAAAAATTAAATATAAAATGCAAAAATGGCTTTTAAGCAGCGCGAATGTCGCGTTTAGCGGGGTGAGTACATACCCCCTTCACCCGCCAGGTGTCCCAAAAGGGCACGGGACACATGGCAGGTGTGTGCCAGGACCGGGCGAGTGGGCAGGATGTGCTAAAAGGACATTGCTGTTGTTTGCCAGTGGGTGCCCGTGGCATGCCGGGTGATGTGTGCAGTTCATCAGCGACCGCAGCAAAAGGCAGGCGGATTCTGCAAACACACCAAAAAAAAAATAAAATAAGGACAAACCGGACACAGGACACGCGGCGTCCTGCCAGTTAACCATCAGAAAAAGCTAAAATGAAAACAGAAGAAGAAAAAAGAAAGCACAACCAAAACGAGGAAACGAAATTATCATAGGGCTGGCTTAGCGGAGTCAAATGAACCAGAAAAGGGTTCATTAAAAACGAAAATGTGGCCAAGAAAAACTCCCTAATCAAAAGTATTTTCCATTGCTGGAAAACACATAACGAGCCTGACAAATGCAATGCAATCATTTGGCAAAGAGAAAGGAAAACCCATTTTCCAGAACATCCTGCATCCCTGAGGCAATTATGAAGTGCAAGCAAATTGCATTTCTTCGTGGGAATTTGCCTTTTTCTTTTTTTTGTTACTTTACACCTCTAATGAAATTGCCAGGCACAAGTTGTCCCCAAAGATCCTGTCTCCACTCTAACTAACTCCCTTCACCTCCTTTCCCGCACTCCTTTGTTTATGCAAGCGGAAATTCATTATTTTAACATGCGCGCCGCAAATTATGCTATGAACTTCGTCGTCCAACCTCGCACAATTCTACATTTTTTACATTTTTTTTCCCCATTTAGCTTTAGTAAGTGGAATTACCTTATTGGACCGGATTAAATTCATCAGGCATTGAGGGCGAATTTCTGACAGGGAATTAACATTCCAAATTGAATTCGTGTTCGCCGGTTTATGGTTGCTTATTTTGGGGTATTATGGGCTAGTTGGATGGTAGAGAAAATGTGGTTTATAGAAGGTTTCCTATAAATACAGACTTGCTAAGCTTACATTTAAAGCAACTACTTAACTTTACTAACTTACTTAAAGTTATTAACATACTAGTACTTCTACTGCTTAAGTATAGCTCCCCCTTTCTTATTTTAAAACTAATATAATACACCATCATATCATTAAATACCATTAATCGATCACTTAACCTGCCACTTAATTAACCCACAAATGCCCTTATAAATATTCAAAAAAAAACGCCACAAATTCCTGCTTGTCAACATAATTAAGAGAGGTACTCATTAAACCCAATTCGTACAAGCAATTTCAAGAATATATTAAATAAAGATTCGCCAATTATTTTCGCTTTAGCCGAAAGCAAAAAAAAAAAAATGGTTATCAAAAAAAACCGGCGAAGAGAATTTGCCAGCCGCAAAACAACTGTGGAATTTATTTAAATTTTTAACGAAAATCCACTAAGAGTATATATTGCGAGCGAGCAACCCGAATATCCAGGTTAGTCGTAGCTTAATAATATATACATATATTGATGACGTTCCCACAAAAAACATTTCAAATAAAAATGCACACTTTTTACCGCACCAACAGGCAGTTTTTTGTCAACTCGTCTTTTTGTTTTAAAATGAACACGAAGCTATTTGTTAATTCAATGAATTTATTCGATGGAAAGGGTAGGGCATGGGCCTCCACGTCTGGAAGTGAGTCCTCGAATCCGGAACATAGCCAGATCCATGTTCCATGGCCATCCGCAGCACACATTGATAAACACATTACAAGATATTTTGCATATTTCATGGATTTCGAGCCGAAGGAATGACCATCCATATATCCATATATCCATATATATATCTACCATACATATATGTAGTATACATGGCATAAAGTCAGCTCGTGTTAAAATCTGCTTTTATGATTAATTGCCGTGGCGCTGGAAAATAAACCACGACAAGGAAGGCGGCGACTTGCTGCATTTCAATTTGTATTTTCACAGCCATTTTCATTGCTCGACCGCTTTTCCGGGCCTTTTTCCATTTCGCACATTCACACTTTTGGCTTTTTCGGTTTTTATGTTTCGGTTGCCATGATGTAATGTTGCATTCGGTTGATTTAAGCCCTGATCCTTGTGTAATCGTCCGTTAATTATTTCTTCCATTAAAAACCTTCCAAATTGCAGGAAAATTTATAAATAATTTGGGTTTAATTTTAGTTTTGAGTTCAGTCACTTTTAAATCATTTTTTAATGGTCACAATATCAATATTGTTTTTATTTTTTGGGTGTTTAAACATTTGCTGTTTCCCCAATTTAACTCCACTTTCTTCTGCCTTTCGAAAAGTTGTTGTTGTTTTGGTTCTTCTGGAAATTGGCGCGTTTATCTTGCATTATTTTGCGCACATTCGCTTCGCATAACTTTCGGCCTCTGTTGCAGTCACTGTTTCTGCCTCAACTTAAACTCACTCTGCTTGAAATGCAGTGAGAGAAATGCATAGATTACTTAAAATATACATTTATACATGGCTTGGCAACTTTGTTTAGAGTTGTGAAGGTAATGAAAGCTAAAGCAAAGCAAATGCTTTCCGTTTAAAAATCCAACATTAAGTTACATCAAAAAGTAAGCATTAATTTAATGTTTTTTAAACCAAATTATCAGCATATTAAGCCAGTAAATATCAGTTAAAAAACCACAAGCTGTGACATAGTTTTATGTCTTAAAAATATAAAAATAAAACCAAAATCAAAAGTCCAACCATTAGTTAGACATTTCACCCAATTAAACTGGTTTCTTTCTGTGCTCCTGGGACTTTCGCCATTGCTTCCGTTTCCTTTTGCCCGGAAGAAAGCAAGGGGATGGAATGGCCAAAGGGGGCTATGGAAATGGCAGAGAACGAAGGACGAGAGAGACGAAAGGACGAACTGCAACTGGCATTTTTGGCGTTCCCGGCACGCGCTCACTAATTTTATTCCTTAATAAAAACTACAGGCAGAGGCACACAAACTGTGCTGCAAGGAGAACGAAAAAGAATGAAAGAAAAGAAAAGGAAAGAGAAAGCACGTAGCGTCCTTGCAATCGCCCACCCTCTCCTACCCCCCAACCCCGGGGGGATAGCTATCTCGCTCATTGGCCGCATTGCGATGGAGCTACCTTTTGGCGAGGTTCGCTATCAAACTAGCAAAGTTCATTAAAGTGATAATTACAAAGGCCGTAAAAGGAACGACGAGGCCAAGACGACACGGAACGGATATACGAGCTGGAAACTGAAAAATAAACCCCAAACGAAACAAGAACCTGAAGAAGAAAAAGAAGAAGAATGGGGGAAATGGAAGCGGGAAAGCGGGAAAGCCCCAAGCTATTTAACCCCTTGCGGACCAACTTTAATAGTTAGCTCATTATTCGCAGGTATTTTCTGGGATGATATCAATTAAGTGCTAAAACTGAAATAAATAAGAAAAATGGTTTTAAGTTTGATGTTTAAAATTAAGTGGAAAATATAAGACTAAGTTTAAGTTTTATATTTTAAAAAAAGTTCAAAAGGAACTTGCAAATATAAAATATTATTAAAAACTATCCAAAAATTACCTACAAGCATCCTTAATGGGTTAAGGATAGACAAAGTACATCGCAGCAGCCACACTCCTCTCGACAACCTCAGTAAAAATAGTTTCTCAATTTACAGTAAATGAGGCGAAGCAGTTGCAGTTGATAAGAATGGAAAATTCGTGTTCGATTTAATTGGCGGGCAGCCGCTCTGAAGCCCTTTGGGAAAACCCAAACCCAAACCCAGACCCAACCCAAACCCAAGGCAACCCATCAACGCTTTTTAAATACATATTCAGTGGAAATCATTGGAAGTAACGAGGGCAAGCTTATAAAGTAAGGTCGGACATGAATTTAAATAATCATAAGCCAAGAGCCAAAAAAAAAAAAAAAAAACTTTGCACAGCTGCCAACAGGCTGACGCCCAAGGACCAAGAAAACTTTGCGGCATAAACAACAAACAGGGAAAATTCGAAGAGGTTGGGGGGAAAGAGAAAATCGAGGGAAAGAAAAGCCATAAACTACAATTGAAAGAAACAACAAAGACATTGCTAGCAGCAGCAGCAGCGGCAGCAGCAGCATCAAAAGGCAAAAAGTAAATAAATAAATAAATAAATACATATGCAAAACTGGCAAAAGGATTGGGCAAAAGTGAAATACTTTGATATGCATCTAAATGGCATCATCAGCATCATCCTAACCCATGCCCTTAACCCACAACTGCCCAGGGGTTTCCAAGTGAGAAAACAAAAAGTGCACTGCAAGAATTTACAAAAATTTCAACTATTTTTAAAGTTAGTTTAGAGAAGAAAGAGATTGATAATATATATATGATAAGTGTAAAAAAGATTTAAAAATAATTTAAAATATTTGAGAATAAGGATTATTGTTAAGAAAGCTTCCTAGAATGTGAAGCTCAGAGTTTACCCTTTAAAATACTATAAAAATTTCTCGCAGTGCATCAACAGCAACCAAAGATGGCAATCAGCAGCACTGCGATTGAGAAAGCAACAGCAAATAGAATAAGAATCAGGCAGGGCAACAAAAACAACACTCAATGTTTGTAAAATCTGGCAAAATAAAAATAGTGCAAGAAACAACAACAAAACACAGACAGATCAGAGCTGCCAGCAAATAGCAAAAGCAACAGAAACAGCAAAAAATAAAACTAAAAAAGAAGACAAAACACCAAAAGCGACAAGCAAACAAAAAAATACTGCAAATCATTTTGTGGGCATTACATTTTATTTCGCCATTCGTTTGCCGCAAACAAAGTGAACATTGGTCAAAAAGAGAATGGAAAAAATATATATTTAAATAAATAAATAATAAATTTAAGGGGTTTACAAAAAATATTTCAAAGGAAGAACACAGCTAAATGGCAAATAAAATAATTTGATGCCTAAAATATTGATGAATAATATTTAATGAGGGAAAGTTTAGCACATGGCTTGTTATTCTGCGATTTATATAATATAATATTTAATAATAATTTTTAATGAATTTGTAACAAAAGAAATAACATCACAAATTATCAAAATATTATTATTAATATTATAATAAATCATAAAATTTAAAAGCAATTTTCAGCTTAAGAATTCCCAACATTTTCTTACTTTCAAGGAAGTTTTAAATAAAATTAATTTAAAGGCATTAAAATTAAATTACGCCCAACTTTTCTTTACAATTTATTGAGAACTAAGTAAGCTAAAATAAGTTATAAAAAAAATGCAAAAAAAAAAGGTTTGTTTTATAGATTAAGGACCACTGTGTTCGGCATTTGGAAATCCTGCTCATCGTCACATATTGGTCGCTTTTGTGGCTTTGTAATGCAAATGTTTGGGCAACCCTGGCTGATGATAGTGGAGCTCGACTAGAGGGGGAGTAGTGGAGGGGGAATGGAATATACAATCACTATTGATGGCTACCCTAGACAGACTCACTTCTATAGACATTATAGCCCCGCTCGTCGGCTATGTAGTACTGCGTCTGGATTTGGTTCCTCGGACCTGGTATAGGCACTGAGTTATAACCCTCCTGCACGTTGATCACCTGGTCACCCACTCGCTTGGTGTACAGCTTCTTGTAGTTCACCAGGCCATTGCTCATCACCAATCTGGAATACAAATTTGATTAATAACCATTAGGGAAGATATTAAAATATGAAAGTATTTCTATATATCACTTTAGAGTAAGATTCCTTCTAAACAAAATTAGATTAATTTTGAATATTTTATACTTTCAGATTTTAATTAATATTCTCAGGGCCAACTGACTTGTATTCCTCGGTGCCATTGGGATGCACAACGTGATAGTTTTGCACAACATAAATGGGCGTAGGAGTGGGTGTGCCTGTGGGATGATTAGTGGTCACCGGTCGTCCAGTAGTAGGCGTTGTTGTAGGCGGTGACGCCACTTCGTCGAAGAAATAATCAAGATTCTCCTCTTCAAAGTCCATTTGCGGAAATACGACCAATTGATCCTCGTACAATGGCCATATTTGCTCAATAGGTGTCCCAATTTGTGTGGGCTTGTGGGTGGTAGAAGTAGTAGTAGTTGTTGTTGTTCTCATTGTTGTGGTAGCCAGCGGCGGACTAAAGTCATCACCATCCTCGATGTCACTGGGCCAAACAACCAATTGTAATTCATAGATGGGCTGACTGTCCGGGGACTTCAAGTGGCGTTGCCAGTCCAGATTTTCCACCGGCTTCTCCTCGGGCTTATTACCAATACCAGGCAACGCCCTACCATCCGATAACGCCTCCTCATTGTGGCGGCAGCCTAACGAGTCCATTGTCGCCGCATCGAAAGTCAATTTGCAGTCGATGCGTTGGCCATCCACTTGAACATTGGACTCTGGAACTGGCTGGTGCTGGTGATGCTGCTGCTGCTGCTGCTGCTGTTGCTGCTCCTGTTCCTGTTCCTTCTCCAATTCCAGTTGCTGCTGCTGCTCCATATACGGGTCCATGGTAGTGGTGGTGTCCGGATCTGAATTCGAATCGGGATCCGTAACTGTCCTGGCCTGCAGCAGTGGGATTAGTGTGGCCACCAGCAGCATCAGCTGCAGCAGCACCAACTCCAACCGGATTCTGTTTGATGACATGTCTGCGGGCGCTTTTCCTTGCCTTTTGCACGCTGCCAAAAGGTCCGGACTTGTATTTATACGAATCAAAGGCACTCTCGCTGCTCTGCTCTGCCTTGTTGAGCTCAACTTGACTGAATCATCATTATCATCAACATCGTCAGCTGCACTTTAGACATCACGAATATTTATATATATATATACGTATATAAACATATATACAATACCGTTATGCGCCAGAACGGCAAATAAGCTGGCTTTTGAGCCTGCAACTTTGGAGAAGGGCCAATAATAAACAGTCAAAGTGGTCTTAACCCTTGTGTAAGGGAATAAAACCATGATTTGGAAAGCAAATATTGAAGGGAATACCATATAACACATAATTTCCAAGTGAACGAATTTTATAATATTTTTAAGTATTTCAGATAATTAAGCATACGTAATAACATTACTCATACGCAGTGTTGCACTTTAATATAGAAAACTACAAATTTAAAACCTACTGATCAGGAAAATTAAATAAAATTAAAAAGAATTTCAAACCCACAGAAACTTTATGTATTTTACATACCCCTCCCCACCGCTCAAGGGTTAAACTGCATCATGACCTGATGATAATTATCATGTAATGCCAAAAGATGATGAAAATCGGTTAATGAATATATATATATCAAAAGGCGGAGAGGTAAGGAGCTCAGGTGCAGGATTGTAAAAATCGTTATAATCGCCACATTGTGTCTGAGCTCGTAAAGGTGCTAATGGGTATTCGTTTCGCATTTTGTTTGCTCCCCCAAAAGGTGATCGAAGTTCATTGGTTTAGTTACGGAAAGTATTTTTGTTTTTCATTTAGAACTTGGATTTTATTTACATTTTAATTGAACTTAATCATTCCATTTATATAGCTTTGCCTTTTCATTTTGGTTTCCCATGTCCTTTGTCGCTTTTCCTTATTTCCTTCTCTCTATCATTCTCTTTTTTCCTTTTCTTTTTTTATAATTTTAACAATGTCATTTATAATGAGATTTTCCATGGCTTGGTGCACTTGCAGCACGATGACTTGGATTTCTTGTTATTTTCCCACGACTTTCTGCGTTTATCTGCTAGAGAATGTTCATCATCTTCTCGCTTTATATTTTCGGGTTCGTTTTTCATGTGTCATAAAAGATATTTGACATGGTTAAGTATTATTATTAAAGCTTTAAGAGCACAAACCGGTTAATACTTTGACTCATTTTGTTAGCTTATTTTGATTACATTCTGGTTTATGTATGTTTCAAGGACAGGCAGCTTTGGAATTTAATTCAATTTCTATTTAATTGAAGCAAAAGGCGTCTTTAATGTGCAATTTGTCAAAAAGTTTTTGATTTATGAGTCCGCAACAGCAAACGGCTGTCAGGCAACTTGTTCACTTTTCACTTCAGTTCTTTTCTTTCTTATTTTCGTTTTCTTTGCTTTCACAAAATTGCAAAATCTTACACAGAAATTTCCATGAAAACGAAACAATTTTCACCAAAACCCTCACACCAACCCTGTCACCATTTCCTGTTTCCTTATTTTTTCCATTCACTTCCCTTTTTTTTTCTTCTTTTTGTTGGCACAAATTTAATTTGATTTGATTTTGGCCGCTGGACATGGCCAGCCCAAGGCAATTTGTCAAAAAAATTTATACATATTTTCGGTTATATATAAAGCAATGTTAGGGAAAATATTTTTTAGAATTTTTATTACTTTCATAGAATATATATGCCTTTATCTCTTACTATACTAATATTTATCGAATTCCCCCAACTGCCTTTAACTTGAAAGGAAATACCTCTAGTTAATAACTACTAATACCTTGAAACAAAAGCCTTTAGCTTAAAAGCTTAGGAATGCGTAATGCAGAAGCAATTAATATTGGGAAAATGGCAAATAATAGAAGAGAAATAGTTCTGCTGAAAGTAAATGACTGATTGTTTGTATTTGCTTGGCAAATGAAGTGCTGAACTTTGGAAAACTAATGGACACCTGCAGATATGCATATCTTATGTTTGTTAATAAATACTTATATATATGCCTTTATTAATATTGCATTTAAGTTCCATAAACGAAGATGCAGGAATATATAAATAAGTATATGGCCGTTATTAAATGCTGACCCATATTCCGTTTAAGCAAATCCAGTTTTTATCCAATTAAATTTTTATTAAAAATCATTTGGATTCTTAGCAGATCTGGTTTTACCAACTGCTCCATCAGTAATCATAAAAAGTCAGGATATCCAACCACAAAAATCATATATAAGAAGTGGCGAGTCTGAGAACCATATCAAAGCGAATCAAAGTCAAGTCTGATAAAGAACATTCCTCAAGAAATTGCAAGACAACAAACCTCAAACAACTTTTCTTTAACCAAATTTTAAGAGAAATTCCAAGAAACATGGCCAACATGCTGAGTTTTTTTACCTTCATGGCTATAATAGCTATCGGACTGGCCTTAACCACAACCATAGCAACTACTAGGGAACCCATGGTCACTACCACTGAAAAATCCGTGGAAAGTAACCCTATGGAACGCCGTGACAAACGTCAGTTGGTGAGTTACAAATAATAAGATAAAATATATAAAAATCAAAGTAAAAACTCCCATTTTCCAGACTTCCAATGGTGGCCAAACTAGCTTAGCCGGATCCAGTGGCAACTATCCCATTTACTTCGACGGCTTGAATGTGAATCCCCCACTGCAGCCACTGCCACCCCTTCAGCAACTCCAACCCCTACAGCCCATTACTGTGGTGACGCCCGTGGCCTCCAATTCGAATGCCCAAAGTCAGCAGCCGCCGTCCGGTTGGTTGCCCAATTTTGGCCAGAATCTGCCAATAATCGGAACCTGGGTCGGTGGTCTGCCCAATTTGATCAGTGGCCTGGGATTGGGCTCACTAAATGGTGGATTCGGTACCCTTGGTGGTCTCAATCTGGGTAATCTTGGCCTGGGTGCCGTAACTCCAGTGACATCAGCTCCCGGGCAACTTACGGGTTCATCACCGAATCCTCAGACAACCTGTCCGCTAACCCAAAAGCTGAGCTGCCGCTGTGAGCCACTCATCCAGTTGCCAGGACTGAAGCCCAGTACCAATCCACTGAGAACACAGTTGGTTCAAATCCTGCGACAGAATGCCCGCAAAAATGATGATGGCTCGAAGGAGGTACGAGTAATTTTGAGCAATGGACATGTGATGTACCAACGCACCGCCAAGGATCTTGGCCAGAGTGGCTACTTTGCCATGAGGATCCAGTCAGGAAGGTACTTCAACATATACTACAACATCAACGAGAAGGAATACACCGTAAAGGCGGATGTCAAGGATATGCCACCCACCTCGAATTTCGATGACGAACTGAGTGGTCAGCTTTAAACGAGGAGTTTTTCCAAGCGAAAATTTCTTGGTTTTTACTTTAAGATTTTTTTTCATATATTTAACAAATCTTATTTGGCTTGAAAACTATAAAATATTGAGCTTGAAATGCTTAAAGACAATAGAAAATATTTAAAACGGGAAAGGAAACTTAAACTTTATAAAAGTTTCAATTATAATAAATATTTGCCATACATAAAAGTTATAAATAACTAAGTTTACCAAACATCTAGTTAAACATAAAGGGAGGGCATCAAGTTTTCAGGGGTGTCAAATAATCAAAAAACACTCAATATGGTCGCATATGGTTAAGTGAACCCAATTTGAACCCGAACCCCTAAACTTTCCCATAAACTGTATTAATCCCTTTTATATTTGTTAACTTTTTGTTCTTGTTTTCTGCTTTTTTGTTTGTTTGTTTGTTTTTTTTGAACTAGGAATGGGAACTACAAACTAGCTGCGAAAGAAATAAACAACAATGAAACACATTTCTGGCGATTGCTCCTTTGGGATGCAAAAACTTCAGTTACAAAGACAAATATTCATGGGGGTGCGGCAATAAACTTGTCTTTTATTGCCATAGATGTTGTTAAAGGGTTAACAAGTGGGTCGGAGGCGGGGCGGAGAGAAGCTCTGAGCCCAACCAATCTGCTATGAAGGAGTTCTACTAATTACAGGCGGCAAAAGCAGGCACTGAAAGAAAATTCGCTTGGAAATCAACATATTAAGCCATTAAGAAGGGGAAGATATATTTCAAATTGAAAATAAATTATCATTTCTATCAAACCTAAATACTTGTTAAACTTTCTCTTAAATTATAAAACATTTCCCTGATTTTCCTGCCCTATAATCTTATTATTTATTTCTGTACATGGCCACCAGTTGAGTCGTAGGAAAATGGAAAATGTTAAGAGGGGGCAGCACAAACAAACAAAGCGAGCTCAATGGGCAAATGGAAATCAAGCTGTAAAATGCCATATCCCCCAGCCTCGATTTTCCACTCCTTCGGTTTTCCAACGAAGCCACTCCACACTTTTACCCACTTGCCTTTCAACTTGAGCTGAGAGAAGTTTCGCAATGAGCCCGGGAAATGGAAATGGAAACTGGCAGGATATGCCCGGAAAAGCGAAGTCGAGCAGAATGTTGGCCAGCGGGACGATGTATAATTAAAAGTTCCCTTTTGTGCCCGGATTGGTGGATCCTCCAAAAAGGCAGCAACAGCATATTTTATCCCTTTAAGCAGCGATTAGTCAGTAAAACAGCACTGATTTTTAAGTACACGACAATTTCTATAGTTTTTCCCCAGCTTTGCTGAGTTAACTCCAAGATTTATATAATCTGTATAGTAGTTTGATTGAGAAAAAACTAGATTTCAATTTAAAAAGCTATTCATAAAACAGAAAAAATAACTAAATTAAATTTGCTTTAAAATTGCGAAATTCACTCGATTTTCGATTATGGGGCATGGATTTACGATGGCTGTGTCCTTTAACCGCTTCCTGCAACTAATTCACCCAGCTGCCGGATGAAAGCTAGTCCTCCTGCAAGGGTTGCAGAACGAGGGGGTTGCTGAGCTGAGGGGAACTTGGCTGGTAATGAAACCGCATTCCTCGGTGCCCACGAAACTTTTTCGCAAATCATAAATGGGCCCGGGACACACAAAACACACACACATTGCAGTTTAGTGACTGCCCCCTCAGTTTTTAAGGCCGAACCACCCTTCCAGCTCTCTTTAAACACCCCTCCTCACCCCGCTAAACCGCTTTAGCCCCCCACCCTTAAACCGCCGCCTCATTGGTTATGCCAATTGCAAAAAGTCCTGGGCAACAATTGAAATTGCCGGACTCGTTGATGAGACTTTAAGCTGTGGCTGCAGCTGAAACCCCGCCCCTAATTACGTATTACCAGATGACTGCCATTAGGTGCTCGCACTCACGCCCCGCTTCCCTTTCCTCATCTCCTTCCCCGGCCATAGCAACATTTTAAAGCTGGAACATCTTAAAGTGCCGGACAACGCACCATTAAATCCACTGAATGCTCCACATTTTGGTTGGCTTTGGTTTGTTGATGTTTCTAGTTTTTCGTGGGCGGGGTTGTATGGGTGTTTCCTGGGGGTCATATAGAGGGAGGGAGTGGGCTGCATCCATTAGCCGATATAGTAGAGAAGCAGAGAGGAACCTAAACCCAAAGCCAGACTCGTCGCAACCGCAGACCAACGTGAGTGACCGGCGACGACTAGACAGTGCGAATATGTGTATGTATGTATGTAACTGTGTGTGTGTGTGCGTCTGACTCCCCGAACCATGCCCCCAAATTTTTTTGGTATGCACCTTACACCCTAAACCCCCTATCTTCCAACGCCCCTGGCTAACCCTTGGAAAACTGCCGCATTGTGTGGCCAAAAAGCGAAACCGCGACTGCAACTGGCCCAGCAATAGAAGGCACTGAGAAAAAAGAAGGCCTAGTGCCATTCTATGAAATTGATTTAGGCAAATTATGCATTTTTAAGCAAAGAAAACTGAAGAAAAGTAAAATTTAAAAAACTGTAAAATAGTTTAATTATTTTTCATATTTAAAGGGTAGTTAGTATCAGGAATTCTTTAAAGTGCATTAAGGACGAGTAAAGCGACCAGAAAAGGAGAACCAGAATAGAGGACCCATGGAGAACGGATGCGAATCGAGAGCGGAAAGCGTGACAGATAGATGGGCTGGGGCAGCAAGGGGTTAATGAAAGAGGGAATTTAGTTCGAGGCACTGTGGAAATGATTAAAATGTATTAGGCAAAATTAAGTTGCTTAAACAGAGAAATGAGGGGAGAAAATAAAAGGGTTACAAAATGGGACAAAAACGGACCAAAAAAGGTAATGAGTTAATGGAAACAGGTAGAGCGAGACAAATTCCTTAAATCCTTTTAATAAAAAAAGAGGAGCGACCACTGCCTCGACTATAAGATTCCCGTTACTAAGCGGAAACAATTTCGACAAAGACCTATACTTCTTAACTACCAAAAATATCTTTTATATAATATAAATATCAATAGAAAAATATAAAAAAAAATAGCCACTTACCTTAACTTTCCATATTATCCAAGGTAGACATCAGTAATTATTAAGCTTCGCAGTTCCGTTTTCCATTTCAATTTTCCTTGTTTATACGAGATTTTCACACATTTATGTTCACTTTTTTCACTTGTTATACTTATATTTAAGAAATGTTATCACTTTTGCATAATATTTAATGTTTAAGGGTTATTAGGATTTATTGCACTCAAAAAAAATGTTTACCTTCTTCTAATTTCTAAATATGTATATTACATAAACTATATTACATATTTTACAACTTTTAAAATGAATATCAAATGAAATAAATATATTTTAGGACCACCATCCATGATTTTACATGATACTCGAGGTTCCCAATTTACATATGTAAATTTACAAACGCAGTGCGTATTACGCACATACATAAGTATGAACATATGCACATATGTACATATATGTATTTACATATTTCGCAAATCAAAAGCTTGATGTACTATTAACAAAATATATATTAAACAAGCAGTCAAAAGACATTCCTGCTATTACTGTTATTGTAATATTTCTACATATTTTCAACAACATTTAAAACCATTAATAATATTTGAATGGGTGACTTTCAGAATGAAAAGACAAAGACAAATGTTTGCGGTGCAAAAGCAAAGAAGAAAATTACGGTAAACGCAACTGCGCCAAAGTTCTTATCTTTTCTTCGCATCGCAGATCTTTTCCTCTCCTCTTTGGCACGTCATTTTGCTATACATACTTGAAATTGATATTCAATGATATTGTGCGTGAATTTAATTAATAATTACAGACTTGATTTGTGTTTTTGAAGTTAATATCAATGAAATACATACATATGCACATATGTTTTAGGTACACTTTGACTTTGATTTTGCATATTGTTAAAGGTTCTAATTGGGATTATATGAATATTTAATGGTTTTACCCTAATTTGCAAAAGAAAACTTAGAAATTGGCGTTTTTATGTAAGCATATGCATACCGTTATATGTGTATATCATGCAGATGCCCACACATACACACTAACACATTCACTTATCCAGCGGAGCACCCCTTGCCGTTTGGCATTGCAATTATTTAAATTCACAATTAAAACAAAATATATTGTTTTAAACACAACACACAATCCTGCGATCACTATTTATGCATCATTTGCTCAATATTTGACCGATTTTTAACACTTTTTAACACTTCTTAAGACTTTTCAAATGCAATTACAAAAGCTGCGACCGGCTTAGAGAGGCGACTGAATATGACTGGTCAATTAGTGGGAGAGTTCTAAGCGCAGAGGCCAGAGAGAGGCTGACGAGAGAGTTGCCATAGATCTTCGTTTGGCCTCTCCTCTCTCAATTTGTCCTCTCTTTGGCCGAAAGCCGTTAAATTATTTAAAATAGTAATTAATATTCAATAATATCGATTGGCGAAGGATAGTTGATTAATATAATAAAAATAGAGAAAAATAATTAGAGAAATAAATAAATAAACAATAAACGAGAAATATAATGTATATTATGGATATTAATAACCAAATCTAAGAAAGCCAAAAGAAAACTTTTCCTAAAATGTTAAGAAAGTATAACAAAAATACGAGCATTTATAATCTGCAACATTTTTGCGAATCTCCGCGCTGATGCTGTTTATTTAACAAGTTTAAGCCAAGTTTGACTTATCTCAGGTTAATTGGTTTGCTTGAAGGGAAAAAGGAAAACTGAAGGTGAATTGTAGGAAAATCGGGGAGATCCCTCCTCAAAGCTTAATAAACCCCTCGCCCCGTCCCTTTGGAATTTGCAAGCCACTGTAAACAGGTGCAAACCTTGTACAGCAATTTCATCCACCCACCACCTGCCAACCCGGGTAACTTTTTCCACCCAGCTTTCCACGGTTTTTCCCTCGTTCAAATAGTTGTAAATGGGCGAAAAAGCAAACAAAAAAGCTGAGATCCACTTGAAAGGGAAAACAAGAAAAATCATTGAAAGGCAACAATGCTGGGAAAACAGAAGTAAAACGAAATGCAAAGCCAGCGACCACTAAATAAGTGAAGTGCGTGGGCGAGTGGACGAGTGGAAATGCGGAAAAGCGGATGCAAGAAACTCCAATGCGGCAAATAAACAAAGGATCAAGCGATTTCCCAACAATCGAATGGGGCATGGACCATTGGGTGGATTTGAGGAGAACTCCAAAGGTGGCATATAAAATAAAGTAACAAAATTACTTAGTAAACTGAGTACAGGGAAAATAACTATGTATATTAAATATAAATGTCCATAATTTAAAAAATATTAGTATAAATATATAAACCAGTATCTTTACCATTTCCTGGACCAACTCTTTAGTACCTACTGTATTTAACCCTTTACCTTTTCTTTTTGCAAATGGTAAGCCCTATTTCCTCTGAATTGTCTGATTATTAAGAAATTTCACAAAATTTTTTTACAAGATTTGAGTCACCAAAGGTTGGTTCCCTTATCAGGGCGTATATGTACCTGATAAGACCTATCAAACACAGCGGTCGGAAACACGGAAAGGCCATTAAACCGACCACCTTCTTCAGTCGAAAGTCGGAGCTGCTAGAGAACGGACAGGAAAATGACGGGTAATCAAATGAACCTAAAGATGCCATAATTATTATGTTAAATCTTTTAGTTCATATATAAACTAACAGTTTAACCACCTTTTAACTATTTATTAACCCTTTACTTTCTCTATCACTCATTAGATCACAGATGGATGCACTTTAGCAATGGCAGTGTACCGCCAAATGCCGTGGTGGCTGGTCACGATTCGGATGGGGACACCATCTTTGTGGGTCGCGCCTTCTTCCACAACGACATGCTGCCGGCCAAGGTGATTCCCAACAAGGGCAAGGCCTACGTGGCGTATGCGCGACAGGAGCACGAATTGGAAAACTATGAGGTACTCTCTGGCTACAACTACGAATGGCTGCCGGCAGAGAATGGAGAGGTGCCTCAGGGTGCCGTTAAAGTGGGAAAGAATGTGGATGGAGAGTATCTCTACGCGGGCAGGGGCTATCATGCCGGTAGCTTGACCATGGGTAAAGTCCATCCCTCCCACGGATGCCTGTACATTCCCTACGATTCCGATGAGGTGAAAATCTTCGCCTACGAGGTGCTCAGCCAGCCGGAACGTTGGATCGACACCACGGCCACTAATATTCCGGATGGTGCACTGGTTGCTGGACACGATTCCAATGGTGATACCATCTACGTGGGCAGGGTATTCCGCAATGGAGACCTTCTGCCCGCTAAAGTGGTGCCGGCCAAGGGCAAAGCTTATGCCGCCTATGCCCAGGCAGAACACGAACTGACCGATGTCCAAGTCTTAACCGGATCGGGTTTCCGTTGGGTCCCAGCATCTCATGGTAACGTGGCTCCCAATGCTCTATCCTCCGGTCCAAATGTGGATGGGGAACCCCTCTACGTTGGCAGGGCCATCTACTGCGACAGTCTGAGTGTGGGCAAGATCCATCCCTCGCACGGCTGCATTTACATACCGTTTGGCGGCGAGGAGGTGCGTCTGGAGAACTACGAGGTTCTGGTGAGGATCTAAAAGGGACCTTACGAATGGGTTTATCAGTTTTTTTTTGTAAATTAATTTTTTTTTGTACCCAAAGAATAAATTTTATTACCATTTTGACATAATTTAATCTAGCTCTCAACTTAAACAAAAAAAGTCCCCCATTCATTAAGAATTTTTGAGATAATAATAGTAGCTCCCCGCGGATGTCATGGAAATTTCGAGCTAACGCGGATGTGGGGATTTTGTACTACATGCGTGTTATCATATCGGTTATCAATTAGCAACAATCGATTGATTTATGGCCATAAATTTGCGTCTACTTATAGCATAATTAACCATTTGCACTCGCCTTCTGACTAAACAAATACTCGATTTGGGGCAAGTCGTAAAACTCAGCCAGATATCACAGTTATCAGAAAATGTATATATTTATATCAAAGATTAGCAGCAGTTTTATACCTATTACATGCTTTTTATGGGGTATATTGGTTGTGTTGAGAAGAATTTAAATTCTGAAAGAAGTTATTTTTCTTAATAAACAGTATATATGTGTTAGAAATGTTTTAAAAGTTGAAAAATATGTATAAAAATATATTTATTCAATATTATACAAGGCCTTATTATCAATATACTGTGGCGCCTCCAGTGCGGAGACAAAAGAAACTTATCAATTTGAAAATTTTTAACGCGCCATACTTAGTTTGAAGACCTCCCACGTGGTGACGCTGTGTTGGCTATGTTAAAAGAGCGCACCTGCTAAACATGGATTGTGTACTTACTACGCCCTCCATTTTAAAAGGTGTCTTCGCTAAGTGTCCATGGTGCGCGATAAATTTAGTGTGACCAGACGAAGAAAGCAGTTTAGCCAGGCTTTGCTTGTGTCTTCGCTAAATTCCACGGCTATTGGGAGTATGTATTTGCTAAATGTCACTGCTTATGGTAATTTCAGTGTGACCAGCTGGGCAAATCATCAATATGCCATCAGAGAATCTGTTCTCTCGTAGTATTTCTTAGGTAATTTTTTCTTGAGAGAGGGTATATCTAGACCATCACTCTCTGGTTACACCAGTCTTCTCCTAAACGGCACGGAAGTCAGACGTGGTCGCGGAAAAGTGCAAGTCATTCGTTTGCAAATATTATTTTGCAAACAAAACTTTAAAAACAACGAGTGAACGGTGACGTGACTAAATCGTGTGGCCCGCTTCAATTTTCCTTACGATTCTTCATCCACTTCTGGCCAAAAAGGCGGGCTTAAGAAGAAGAGCGGCGCGGCAAGGGACGACAAGTAAGAAGAAGAGCGCACGCAACGTGCAACATTGTGTGCGTGTGTGTTTATTTGTTTGTTTGTGTGACGAAAATACAACAAGTGCAAACAACAATAAAACGAGAAACAGCAGCAACAACAAAAATACATCAACTCCTTTGGTAAACCAAGACAGCAACAACAACAGGAGGCGTAGTGCGTCAAAGAGGGGAGAGCGGTTGTCGTTGCTGTTGTTGCTGCCTCACACTGATAGCAACGATTGGTGAGGAATCCACCGATGCAACAACAATTCAAGTAAGTACCGCTTAATTAAACATATTTTGGGAAAATTTAAAAGAGTTCTCTTTCTTAGATTACTAGTTTTGGGTTTTTAGCGCCTTTTTTTTGGTGCTCTTTTCATCACATACGTGTCAAATTTATATTTGTTTACCACTACTTATTGGATCATATGAAGTTCATCTTTTCGGTTTTGCTTAATCAATTTACTTTGATTTGATTAATGAAAATCTACCCTTAGCAAGATTAAATATTCCGGCTTACTATTAACTTTTCGAAAGAACTTATCTCCAACAATGTTGATGAAGTTCCTATGGTTTTTGTTTCGTCACATACGTGGCCTTATCATATAGTTTCTAAAAATTCATTTATTTTCTAGTAATCTAGAACTTAATGTATCAGCTTTCTTAATAAGTATATTACCCTTACCTTACAACTTTAGTATTTTTAAACCTTATTAAGAACTGGAACATTTTTTCACTATCATTTCATTTGTAAATATTAAATATTAAAATCTTATCAAGTGCTTATGTCTTTTGCATTCATACTTTTCTACATTTTTTCTGTCAACATAAAACATTTAAAATAACAAATAGAAAAGATATTCACACATGGATTGTGATGAAAAGCCAACTTAAACGTTAGTCTTTTTATATATTCAAATAAGTTAGGCTTATATTTTATTTTTTAACTTTTTCTAAAGTGATTACATTTAATGCATTTAATTTGTTGCACTCTCTATTACCAGTTAAAGTTTTTCCATTCCTTTTTTTTTTTGCCAACGTTATCGAAAACTTGGCATTATTTTTGCTGCGGTTTCAACTTCTTTCTCATCTCCTCATTTGCTTCTTCTTTTACTTCTGGTTCCTGCTGCAACTTATTCTTCTTCTTCTTCCTAATGAGAGTGCTTCAATTTCAATGCAGTTTTTTTCCTCCTCCTTATTTTTTGCAACTCGCGCTTTTTTTTTTACATGTGTGTATGGGAATCTCCAGCTGCGGTTGTCAGAGTGTGTATTTGTGTGGGTTTTGCGATTTGAAGTTGCAAAAAGGGGCGCTTCATTTGTTCGCCGCCCTTTGGCCACGCCCCTGCCCTACCTTTGGGCGGGATTTTCGTTTTATTTTGTCAAAGTTTGTTGCACTTTTCGCAGTCAGCGCGAACAAGTCCTTCGCATCCTGCCTCCTTTTGTTTCCACTCTCTTTTCCCTTCTTCGTGCCCCATCTCTATTATTTTCCCCTTTTCCTTTTTTTTTTTATTTAATACATTTTTTTCTTTCAACAATTAGTCGCAGCTGCTGGAAGTGCAGAAATGCAAAATGCAAAATGCAAAATGCAAAATGCAAAAACACAGCGGTAGAAACAGACACAAAAATGGCGATAATAGACAAAAGTGGATACAGTAGGTCCTCGAATATTACTGATTTTCAAGGAATAATTACATATAAAAAATAGTCTTAAAAAGGTATGATTTTTGTTCTTATTTTTGTAGGTAATTTAAAATAATTTATGATTTTCTGATTTATTTTATAATTTCTTTTTTATTTCTTTTCTAAATATGACTTTCCTAATCCTAATGTTTATATAATACCTTTTTTTTTAAATATTATCAACTCTAAAAAGTATTAGAAACTCTTTTAAAAGTATCTCCTTAGACGAATGACCACTGTATCTGCATCTGCCGCACATATCTCAGCGCTGGCTTATTTATGTACATATTTCACTTGGCACTTGTTATATTTATACGCTCCTCACACACACACACACACACTTACGGCTTCCCCTTCTGCAACATTACCCCTCCCTCCGCGCACTGCTCATCTTCTTTGGACCCATATTCCCTTCTACTACCCGCGACCCCTTCTCCTGTGTGTCGTCATCAGTATGCCAGTTGTCACTTCATCTTTTTAAATGCGCCTCATGGTTTTCAATTTCGAGAAACAAGTGGCCCAAAAGTGCTGCTGCCCAAGTGCCCATATTACATGTACACGCAGAGAAAAAATATCTTTGAAATTGGCTAAGAAATAAGATGGTGTTTTGGCCCAAAAGGTCTTTTATATGGCACTTAAGAGAATAGGATTATATAGATCAAAAGTAGTAATTATGTAAATGTGGGAAGTGCACTTTCTATACTTTTTCTATATAATAACGCTTTGCTTTCAGCAAGTCTTCCTTTAACATCCAATCTTAACAAAGTTAAACTTATATTTTATGAACTATAAATATCAATGAACTTTTAAAAACTTTAATCATTAAAAATTCAAGATATAAACTATTAAATAAATGGCAACAATAATGAAAACCTTAGTTTTGTATCCTAAGTTCTGTTCAGTCCCATAGAATGCAACTCTATAATCATCCCAATGCCGTGACTTGAACAATTTTGCCTATTAAAAATAATAGAAATAATAGAATTCCAATTGGTCTAGTATTTTCCCTGTGTAGCCACCCCACCCAACCCCCTCCAGCCGGCTTTCATCTTTCAATGACGCCTCTTTTTGCTTTCGGGCAAAACTGCAGCCAAATGAAATTAGTCGTTGGAGTTGCTTTTAAAAAGAAGCTGCGAACACGACAGATACACAGATGCAAACTCAATAAGCCAACTAAATGCAAATTTTCAAATTCATCCGTTCAGAGGGGCACAGAGACTCCTCGCACACACACTTTTCGTTTAGCATTTTTACCCTGGGTGTTGTCTGTCTTCTCAAAAGGAGAAAAATTCTACTCTAAAGTTCAGCCTTTCGATTATATATATATATATATATATGGCATATATATAATAGCATATAGCATATATACCATCTGAGAATTCCTTGGAGCGGTGTAAAATCATTATTCGTCACGCTCAGATTGCCGCACTTGAACGACCGACCAGGTAGACGTGCTCGCATCCAACTCTATAACTCTGTCACACTCACCTGGTCTTTTGCATTTGCCAGTTTTGCTAGTTTGGTAGTTCTCAAGGCGAAACTATGACAGCCGATGGCGGCTGATGGTTATTGAGGTGTGAATCCCATTTCGGGAAGTGGTAAAAGGGGGTTAGGTGTGGGCTTTTGGCGGAAAAAATGGCTTGCAATTGGTCTTATAAAGAAATAACAGATGGAACGGGAAAGATATCATTTAGAAGAGGTGAAGAAAAGGTGTTTACATGCTAAACGTAAGTTAGGCAACATTATGATATGATTTTTGTTTGAAAGATTTCGTAAATGTAGAAAAGTTTACATGCGTTTTTGCTTAACAAAGCTTCTAAGTTTGAAATTCAATATTTTTTAATGATGAATGAAGCTGCGTTGCATATCTTTCACATAAATAAGGTGATAAAACTGCACTAGGCTTATCATTTTTCCCATTAAATATCTGCAATTACTTACCAGGAATATAATTTTCATACCATTGTTAGTATTACTTGCTTGGAAAATGAAATCTTTCTACCATAAAGTTTATAAAATTTACCTCCTGTTAAGCCTAAAATCCAACAATTTCCTATCACATTTATAGACCCATTTTTTCGTGCTATTTTCACAATCAAAATCACATGTTTTAGCTTGATTTTATTGATAAAATCTGCACACCTGTTGATTCCGTTCGTATCTGTTTGACCCAACGCGCCAGTAAGCTGCTGTTTTAGCCTGGAAAAACGTGACACTCATGCCATTAATGGGCACTTTAGGCCCAAACAAAAGAACAAAACAAAAAAAGCGAAACAGTAAAAATTAATTATGAGCAGGGAAAAAAAAACACTGTGCATTTATCATCATTCATTCATATTAACTTGGCCTATCAGCATTTTTCATCATTCCCTCAAATCGCGGACCATTAAAGGCCGGAAAGAAATAAAACGAAATGAATATGAGAATAATGAAAATCAAGGCAAATATGCAAAAGGGCGACACGCTACGTTGACTGTTTGTTCTGAGCTGGCCAACAAAAATTTTTGATGATGGCCTTCGGAAGGAGGAAAAGCAGTTGGGGGTGGGGGTCTTCAAGCTGAGAAGGAGGTGGCTTCAACGCAATTGCACAAATTGCCTTGGCGAACTGGGAAGGCGAGAAAGCCCTGCGACAAGGAAAAGGAAACTCCTTGGCTCCATTAAAAGTTGGGCCATTTGACATCGGGCGCGTTAGCTGTCCCTTCCCCTCTCCCAAAAAAAAAAGAAGTTTTAATGGCCTTTCCACGAAATCTTCTCTGGGACACGTAAGCCCTTTTGTCAAGCTTCTCTTTTCAGCGAATACTCGTAAAAAAAAAACAAAAAGAAAAAAGCACGCCAAGACAGTGACGTCAGAAGGGGCAGGCTAAGAGAAGGCAGCACTGCAAAAAAAAAGCAAACATTATAAATACAAACATGCAAATTGCTATATTAATCTTAAGTATTATTATGTAAATTTAAGTTTATGGCAAAAAAAAAAACACTAAATCTGGTAATTTTAAATTATTTAATAACAAAAAGTATGCCATTTCACGTTCTAACAATATTTAGTCCCATTTTTAGTTGGTTTTTGTTTTTAAAGTTTTAAGATTATTAGATTGCATTTTCAAGTAACTAAATATTTATGTATTAACTCGTATAAATTACAAGCAAAAATACATAATATTAATAGCTGATAAATTATAATCAGTACATACATTTTTGCAAATTGCGTTTTATTAGTCTCAATAAAATATTTTCACAAGCAGATAAAGCCAAATAATTCCCTTAAAAAAACAGGTTTTTTTTGGGACTCACTTATTGATCTTTTAATTAAGCATTCTTCCAGCTGAATATATTAACATTCCGGATATTAATTATTTATGCAATGCCTCGGAATAAAAGTCTTTCCATGTGAAAGTATTTATCTTACATACCTTCCTGCTTGGCTTTCCAATACAAATGATAATAATTGATTTTTTTCGGTGCCAAGTTGGCGAATTAAAAAGTGTGCAAAAGTAATCAAATAAAATAAGAGGCGGGCATGCTTATCAGTTTTTTGTTTTTTTTTTAGCTCAGAATAAAATAATAAAACCTTCTCAGCGGAAACTTTGTTGCCAA